AGCCCAGGACAGAGATAGATGACACCAAGAAGATTTGATACACCTGGGGACAGTTGCAGAGACTAGCCCAGGACAGAGATAGATGACACCAAGAAGATTGGATACACCTGGGGACAGTTGCAGAGACTAGCCCAGGACAGAGATAGATGACACCAAGAAGATTGGATACACCTGGGGACAGTTGCAGAGACTAGCCCAGGACAGAGATAGATGACACCAAGAAGATTGGATACACCTGGGGACAGTTGCAGAGACTAGCCCAGGACAGAGATAGATGACACCAAGAAGATTTGATACACCTGGGGACAGTTGCAGAGACTAGCCCAGGACAGAGATAGATGACACCAAGAAGATTGGATACACCTGGGGACAGTTGCAGAGACTAGCCCAGGACAGAGATAGATGACACCAAGAAGATTGGATACACCTGGGGACAGTTGCAGAGACTAGCCCAGGACAGAGATAGATGACACCAAGAAGATTGGATACACCTGGGGACAGTTGCAGAGACTAGCCCAGGACAGAGATAGATGACACCAAGAAGATTGGATACACCTGGGGACAGTTGCAGAGACTAGCCCAGGACAGAGATAGATGACACCAAGAAGATTGGATACACCTGGGGACAGTTGCAGAGACTAGCCCAGGACAGAGATAGATGACACCAAGAAGATTTGATACACCTGGGGACAGTTGCAGAGACTAGCCCAGGACAGAGATAGATGACACCAAGAAGATTTGATACACCTGGGGACAGTTGCAGAGACTAGCCCAGGACAGAGATAGCTGACACCAAGAAGATTGGATACACCTGGGGACAGTTGCAGAGACTAGCCCAGGACAGAGATAGATGACACCAAGAAGATTTGATACACCTGGGGACAGTTGTAGAGACTAGCCCAGGACAGAGATAGATGACACCAAGAAGATTTGATACACCTGGGGACAGTTGCAGAGACTAGCCCAGGACAGAGATAGCTGACACCAAGAAGATTTGATACACCTGGGGACAGTTGGAGAGACTAGCCCAGGACAGAGATAGATGACACCAAGAAGATTTGATACACCTGGGGACAGTTGCAGAGACTAGCCCAGGACAGAGATAGCTGACACCAAGAAGATTTGATACACCTGGGGACAGTTGGAGAGACTAGCCCAGGACAGAGATAGCTGACACCAAGAAGATTTGATACACCTGGGGACAGTTGCAGAGACTAGCCCAGGACAGAGATAGATGACACCAAGAAGATTGGATACACCTGGGGACAGTTGCAGAGACTAGCCCAGGACAGAGATAGATGACACCAAGAAGATTGGATACACCTGGGGACAGTTGCAGAGACTAGCCCAGGACAGAGATAGATGACACCAAGAAGATTTGATACACCTGGGGACAGTTGCAGAGACTAGCCCAGGACAGAGATAGATGACACCAAGAAGATTGGATACACCTGGGGACAGTTGCAGAGACTAGCCCAGGACAGAGATAGATGACACCAAGAAGATTGGATACACCTGGGGACAGTTGCAGAGACTAGCCCAGGACAGAGATAGATGACACCAAGAAGATTGGATACACCTGGGGACAGTTGCAGAGACTAGCCCAGGACAGAGATAGATGACACCAAGAAGATTTGATACACCTGGGGACAGTTGCAGAGACTAGCCCAGGACAGAGATAGATGACACCAAGAAGATTGGATACACCTGGGGACAGTTGCAGAGACTAGCCCAGGACAGAGATAGATGACACCAAGAAGATTGGATACACCTGGGGACAGTTGCAGAGACTAGCCCAGGACAGAGATAGATGACACCAAGAAGATTGGATACACCTGGGGACAGTTGCAGAGACTAGCCCAGGACAGAGATAGATGACACCAAGAAGATTGGATACACCTGGGGACAGTTGCAGAGACTAGCCCAGGACAGAGATAGATGACACCAAGAAGATTGGATACACCTGGGGACAGTTGCAGAGACTAGCCCAGGACAGAGATAGATGACACCAAGAAGATTTGATACACCTGGGGACAGTTGCAGAGACTAGCCCAGGACAGAGATAGATGACACCAAGAAGATTTGATACACCTGGGGACAGTTGCAGAGACTAGCCCAGGACAGAGATAGCTGACACCAAGAAGATTGGATACACCTGGGGACAGTTGCAGAGACTAGCCCAGGACAGAGATAGATGACACCAAGAAGATTTGATACACCTGGGGACAGTTGTAGAGACTAGCCCAGGACAGAGATAGATGACACCAAGAAGATTTGATACACCTGGGGACAGTTGCAGAGACTAGCCCAGGACAGAGATAGCTGACACCAAGAAGATTTGATACACCTGGGGACAGTTGGAGAGACTAGCCCAGGACAGAGATAGATGACACCAAGAAGATTTGATACACCTGGGGACAGTTGCAGAGACTAGCCCAGGACAGAGATAGCTGACACCAAGAAGATTTGATACACCTGGGGACAGTTGGAGAGACTAGCCCAGGACAGAGATAGCTGACACCAAGAAGATTTGATACACCTGGGGACAGTTGCAGAGACTAGCCCAGGACAGAAACGCCTGTAAAGCTCTTGTCAGGTACAACAGGCAAACTTAACCTAACATGGGATAGTGGGTGGGTAAAAATATCAGATACTTGCATAAGATAATTTGTGCACGATCTGTACGTAGTCTTAAATTTTAGGTTACTGCGCACTACTACACCGTGTTACCCCTTCTATCATTACCACAAAAATTTTAAAGAACCTCTAAAAAATTATAGGGATTTTTTCTTAGGTTTTTTTTCCCTTTTTTTTCTCTTTAAAAGCCATCGGACGAGCCATCCCTGGCATGACATGGGAATAAATTGAGTTTCTAATGTCAGAACAAAGGTTTTACAGCTCGCAGAGCCGGGGTGCTCGTGGGGATGTCAAGCCGGGCCGAGAGTTAATTGAGGGGCGTGCTATATACGCGCTGCCACATGCAGCACTAGGGAGGACGGGCCTGGCACCGCAGAACCCTACCAGGTGATAAACATCCCCGCGGGGATGAAATCGTTTTACGTGAGCTTCTGGTCTGGTGTGGGATGGGGGGCTTTACAGGAGGGATCAAGGGGGGGGGGGGCTAAGGGAGTCTCGCGACATCATGGGTGGTTAGAGGCTCGAGGGAGACAGGCCGGTGGGAGGTTAGGGGAACGGAGCCGGGTCAGAACAGAATCTACAGGATGTGTTTGCTAGGTTTGGATAGAGTTGGGGTCTTAAGGTAAGGGCAGGTTGGTAAGTAGAAGAGGTTTAGAGTTAAAATTGATCAAGGTCAAGGTTAAAGTCAGTCAACGTCTAAGTCCTTAGTTCAGGTCCGGGTCTGGGCCTGGGTCTGGACCTGGGTCTAGTGTGGGTCTGGGTCTGACCAGGTCTATATCTAGTCTCTATTATTGTAGGTCTCTACGTCCAGGTTAGGTCAGGGTTTGGGTCCGGGTCTGGGCCTGGGTCTGGGTCTGGACCTGGGTCTAGTGTGGGTCTGGGTCTGACCAGGTCTATATCTAGTCTCTATTATTGTAGGTCTCTACGTCCAGGTTAGGTCAGGGTTTGGGTCCGGGTCTGGGCCTGGGTCTGGGTCTGGACCTGGGTCTAGTGTGGGTCTGGGTCTGACCAGGTCTATATCTAGTCTCTATTATTGTAGGTCTCTACGTCCAGGTTAGGTCAGGGTTTGGGTCCGGGTCTGGGCCTGGGTCTGGGTCTGGACCTGGGTCTAGTGTGGGTCTGGGTCTGACCAGGTCTATATCTAGTCTCTATTATTGTAGGTCTCTACGTCCAGGTTAGGTCAGGGTTTGGGTCCGGGTCTGGGCCGGGGTCTGGACCTGGGTCTTGGTGTGGGTCTGGGTATGACCAGGTCTATATCTAGTTTTCTGTATATCTACACACATATGGACATACAAATGTACTTGCCTCTTTTAACAGCAGTTCTAATTAAAGCATAAAAACCTTAACTGAGCCTAACCATAACACGTCTACCCCCCTCACCACTCCCCCAAATCCGTTTGATAACATTTTAAAGCATTGCTAATCTTCTCTACCTTTTCTCTCAGTCTAACTACCTGCCAACTGATAAATGAAGCAATTAAAAAAAAACAACTAAGATTAAGGAGTGACCACAGGACGGACATGAGCCAGACTATACCGTTTAAGCCCTATGTTCCTTCATTCTTAACCCTATAGAGACCGACGCTATGCCGCGTTCAACCACCCTTCAGCTCCAGGTCTTGAATACCAGCAACAAATTAACCCTTTAAAAACTGGTCACCGTAAACTAATCCTGTCTAATGGCGCCCAGGTCACGACCCCTGCTGCAGCCGCCCCCCATTCTCCACCTGATCACTTGCCCTATCAGTTTATAACACGGGCCCAACAGATCAATTGATCCGGTACCTTCGATCTCTAATCGACTGAAATAATCGATCGGTGTTTTTAAAAGCTGTTTTTATTTCTCTGGTTCGGATCTTTATTTGTTTTGGCTACACATTAAATCACTCTCCGAATTTCTCCCCCCCCCCCCTTCACCTCTACAACTACCACGCCTGTCTTAAAATATACACTATCGTATATTCATAATGCGTAATCTATTTGACAGAATCGCTGACTTTAAAACCCTACACTTCCTTAGTTAGATAAAAATGTATCGGATTCGATACTTTGCTTTGCATATTTGTGTATATTTTTATAAAATTAAAAAAGTAAAATTGAGAAGCGCCAATCCCCCCCCCCCCCCACCCCAACATCGCCTAGTTACGCCGCGTACTAACCCAAATATAAAACTGATCTTTGTATTATACTACCACCTGTGTATTCACTGTGTATATTACTGTAAATAAATCATTAACTTCTACCCCAATACTTATCACCACAGCCCCGAGGTGAATTTTTTATTTATTCCTACCTGACAGGTATACGCTGGCGTAGTAAAATATTTATTGTTCTTTTCGTTAAAGCGCAGATTTCAATTTATCGATTTCTTGTAACTATCAGGCCAGGTACCCTGATCTCAGGTGTGTGTGTGTGTTGGTGTGTGTCGTGTGCTACAGGTAGGTCACCATAGGATCGGTGACTCGAACCGCTCAGGTAAGAGGATTCAGCTTTCTTAGCAACGTGTTTCCTTCATTAACATTCTTTTATCGTATCTCATTACACACTCGCCCTGTGTCGCGGCATCTGTTGAAGCTGGACGTATACAACTTTTGTTGTTTACATGATCCAACACTTTAATTTGCGTTGTCGTTGATTTGACTTGATTATGGTTTTTAATAGATCTATATAAGACGAGCTTACTTTATTTTGAAATTCTAAGTTGAAAATCTTTAAAATAATAGCGTAGGCCTATTTTTTTTTAAATAATAGTTCAGAAAATATAAACATTAACTGATTATTAACACCGATATGGATGTTAACTGAACTTCGAAAGAGCAATCAATCTAATTTTTTAAATCGCATTTTTAAATCAGACAACTAGTAAAGTTGATTTTTTTTAATTAAAAGATTATTACTACATTTTATTTAAATATTTATCGATGAATCAAAATACATATTATAATTTCAATGTTATTTTCTATTAGTGTTAGTTGAGTTAGTAAACTAAGCAGTTTTAAATGTAGATTCTACATAAATAATGGCATCTCAGTAATTATGCGTAACAGAATATAAGTCTAACCATTTAATGCGATGGTTGTCATGGAAATAGTAAACATATACGCTATCTACACGTTTTATTTTCACCGTGGCGCCTCGTATTTGTTTCGTTTCTAAAACGGTCCTCAAAGTTACTTATCTCTATTGATTTAATTAAATTTGATCAAAATTTAAAAGATAAAGATGCAAGATAGACAGGGGGTTTCACGACAATTAAAGCTGATGATTTCAGCGAATGGAATTCTTAATGTGATCTACGCGTCTAAAATATGATTTGCGAACTTGACGAGCGAAATTTGAAAACAAAAAAACGTGAACCGTTGATGTTGAATATTTTATGACATGTTGAACGAGGGAGATTTGCTCGAATGAGCTGCAAGTTTGAAAAACAATAAGTTCTTGTTTTAGAAGACAATGTTATGAAGTGTGTATGAATGAAATAATGGTGTATGCTGAGTTTATGTTATGGTCGTATGGGAAACAGTATGAGCGAGGTGAGAATTTGTGAATAGGCTTGTGTGTGTATGTAAGTATATATGTATGTATGTATGTATGTGTCACGCATAATGGGTAGTGTTATCTCACGCTGTGTAAGTGTATTTTTGAAGGCCATTTAGATTACACGTGTGTCGAATTTCTAGCCTTTGTGTGGGTGTGTGTGTGGGGGGGGGGTGGGGAGGTGTATATGTGTGGTTGTGTGTATGTATTTATGCGTAATAGATAGCCTGTTTGAGAATAAATGTATGCATGTATGTATGTTTATGTATGTGACTGTACGTGAATGTGTATGTGTGAGAGTTCCTTAGAGATAGGTCCCCACAATGACACACACACAAACACAATGACACACAGACACCAGCCCATAAAGAAGTAACTAAGGCGTCGGGCTCGGCGTCAAAGGCTTATAGATTATTGGCCGCTGATAAGAAATGAAAAGTACTATATCAGACGGCTCGATGAAAGAGTGCGATATTGATCGGTTTCTCCAAACTTTTTTTTTTATACCCGCAACAAACTTTTATTTTTGGACCTGATTTTTAAATACGTGCAGAGGTACAACTGGCTTATTGGTACGGTTGTAATCGTGGTAGTAGCATTGCTTGTATCGTTGCGGCGATATGTTAATCTTAACAGTAATCGCTACAACTTTTATATTCTGCGATACGTTAATCCTAACAGTAACCGCTGCAAACTTATATTTCAACCTGATTTTTAAATACATATGAAAAAGAACAGTTGGCGTTAAGCACCCATGTAATCGAAATAGTGTAATCGTTGATAACGTTAATACGATATTTCAATCCTGAATCCAATCACTGCATTTATTTTTCGACCTGATTCATAAATATGATCGAACTTATAACGGTACTGGTACCCACATAACTGAGAAAACCGACAGCACTGCTAATGGGACGTATACTGATACGTCAAACATGAAAGGAATCTTATATCTAGCAGTAACTTAAATGTAATCAGTGATATCGTTGATGTTATTGTCGGATTTGTTTGACTAAGTAGAGCGAATTTATTGTCATGTGTAAATTTTGACTAAGTAGAGCGAATTTATTGTCAGATATAATTTTTTTAAATCACAGCGTTCGTGCATTTTGCAAATTTATTTTTAAGGGGATATGCGCAGAAAAAAATCACAAAATTTCTTGTTTTTCATCATGATGGGTTTCTTGCACTTTTGGATACTTTGTCCATTTTTGTATAAAGAAAATAATATCTTTAAAGAGAAAAAAATATTTTATGTGTTGAAATTACGATTTTTATGACCCTATTAATTAAAAAATAATCAATTTTTCCCAATCTTACAAGTTCTCTATGAAAAGTTTTATATCCGTCATTATATTGTATTTGACATCATTGGAAAGCTGGACTTCTCATGTATCTAATAAACTTAATTTCCTACATCTCGGAAACACCCAAAGCTTACAATCGGCTTTGCAGTTTACACAGATATGGTACTTTCCTGACCTAGTTTTCATTACTTTTGGCTGTTTTTCTCAGTTCACAGGTTTTCAACACTAAAAAGCCTACTACTTTTTTATTTATTAAACAATGCCAACCATATTTTCAGTAAATGTTCTTGATGCGAAAATACAACTTTTGTCACGAGGGAATTGTGATTGCTTTCATAGAAAAAAAGTATTTGGTAATTAATATGCACATTTTGAAACTTTTGAATACTAAAAAGGGTACGATTTTTTAAACCTTGTAAAATTCTTAGTAGTAATTATTTCAAAAAGTTGTCGTGACAAAAGTTTTAATATATACTGAAATATAAGCAGTTTAAATTTGATTGCTATAGGTGCATAAATAAAAAAGCCTTAGTATTTTTAAAAGTACCGAAAAATTCAAAATGGCGGAGGTTTTTTGGGTTTCCATGACAACCGAAATTGTTTTCGACCCTCTTTTTTGCTGTTTAATACTTACTTTTATATGCCAAATATGATAAAAGTATTTAAAAGGCTTTAGATCTTAAAGTGTAAAAAATAGAAAAAAACATAGCATATCCCCTTAAGTTACTGTAAATTTATATACAAGTTTAGCAGTCATATTAATCAATAAAATATTTAGGACATAGTTTAATTATTTTTTTGACCGAATAAACAAATGTGTCCATCTAAGTAAAAAGTAAGTAAAGTTCGAACCTTATGGTCCATATGGCGTGTAAAGTAGAGTTCACCTGTTTCTGTGATCTTAGGGGATAGTGTGGTCAGCACTATGCCCAGCCGCTTTTGCTTTCCCTAACTTGAGTTGGGTACCCATCAGAGCTGGGTGGACTCAGAGACGTTCTACTTTCTACTGCTTTGGATTCGAACTTGAAACTTTCGGGTAAGCAGTCTTGCGATCTACCTCTGGGCCAAGTCATACCCCGGCCGTCTATTCAAAGGCTTCTAAAAGTAACATAAAAAATAACATAATCTTAGACTGTTTTTATTTTTGTTATTTGTGATTTAGCCTATATGACTGACCATAATAAAATACTTAAAAAAAACTTTTTAAAAAACCACGTTTTTCTTGTGGACTAAAAAGTAGAAAATAAATTTTCATACATTTGATGACAAAAAACGTGGGTACGTTCACCATCAAATTTCCCGACCCATCTGCCCGACCCACGTTTTTTGTCATCAAATGTATGAAAATTTATTTTCTACTTTTTAGTCCACAAGAAAAACGTGGTTTTTTAAAAAGTTTTTTTTAAGTATTTTATTTTCTCCTTTTTAGTCCGTTGCTACACATGAAAAACGTGGTTTTTAAAAAGTTTTTTTATATAGTTTATTTTCTACTTTATCTAATCACTTGATTAAGTATGACTTGACTAAGTGTTTTTAAATACACGGACTAAAAAAATCTTGAGCGACCGATACGCTTTAAACAGAGAAAGGGTGTAATTTACGTTGCTGGCGTGGAGATCTACTCACGAATCACGTGATCAAATCTCCCATAAACAAACAAATAAACGCGAAGCTGAGTTAAGGAAAAACGTGTTTATGTGTATTTTAGCATGCCCAGCGTACCAACCGTGTCACCGTTAACAATGTGTTACCGTGTCCGTTCTCCTTTTTAGTCCGTTGCTACACATAAAAAACGTGGTTTTTTTAAAAGTTTTTTTTAAGTATTTTATTTTCTCCTTTTTAGTCCGTTGCTACACATGAAAAACGTGGTTTTTAAAAAAGTGTTTATAAATACACGGACTAAAAATCTTGAGCGACCAGGATTCGAACCTGGGTTGTCGCGGCCACAACGCGAAGTACTAATCACTATACGATCACGGCCAGCGCGCTCACATCGATTGGGGCCGAAGTAACTGTGTCAATAGGCCTCCAGTCTTGTCGGTATCTTTAGATATCATGTCCTCAATTTTATGGTCCTTGGGGCGTAATTAAATTAAGCTAATTACGGTCACTAATTGCTAGTTTTTATGATTGCATCTGAAATTGTTAGGCGAAAGTAGCATGCATGCCAAATTTCAGGTCTCTAGAGCAATCAGAAGTGGGCTAATTTTCGATGTCAATTTTAACAACAAACATCCAAACAACCAAACAAACAAACAAACGCGAAGCTGAGTTAAGAAAAACGTTTTAAAAACTAAATTGTATGTGATTGCGCACTTATCGCTTTCTTAGCCCTTGCTCAACTCACAAACAGTTGACGTTCACATAATTTGTTTAATTTTATGGCAATGTTTTATCGAAAGTAAAATATCCAATTGCAGTAGAATTTAATTAAAATACAAGTTCTAATCCCCATGATGCCATCTTTAAACATAAAAACGATATTGAGCATACTCAGCTCCTAATGTGTACCTTGCATTGTTTGGTGAAAGAAAACCTAGATGTGTCGTGTGCTAACACGCAATATATAGTGCCCTATAGCCTATATAGTTAATTACTTTAATAGAAATATTTAGAAGAAAAAAATACTTTAATTACATATATGTATCGTATAGAGCCAAGGCTAGGAAAGCTTCGGGGGGGGGGGGGGGGAATGTTATTGTTTAGGTTAAACGTGGGGTTAAGTAACGCTTTCAACCCGTTACCTAGTGTGTCAAGCCCACCCTACATTATCAAGCCCACCCTACATTATCAAGTTCACCCAACATAATCAAGCCCACTCTACATTACCAAACCCACTCTACATTACCAAACCCACCCTACATTATCAAGCCCACCCTACATTATCAAACCCACCCTACATTACCAAGCCCACCCTACATTACCAAACCCACCCTACATTACCAAACCCACCCTTCATTATCAAGCCCACCCTACATTATCAAGCCCACCCTACATTACCAAACCCACACTACATTACCAAGCCCACTCTACATTACCAAGCCCACTCTACATTACCAAGCCCACTCTATAATTACCAAACCCACCCTACATTACCAAGCCCACTCTACATTATCAAGCCCACTCTACATTACCAAACCCACCCTACATTACCAAGCCCACCCTACATTATCAAACCCACTCTACATTATCAAACCCACTCTACATTATCAAGCCCACCCTACATTATCAAACCCACTCTACATTATCAAGCCCACCCTACATTACCAAGCCCACTTTACATTACCAAACCCACCCTACATTACCAAGCCCACTCTACATTACCAAACCCACCCTACATCAGCAGACCAATGGACCGCTACAGACCAAAGAACGTCTCCAACCACTGGGGTGATCAGACCCAGCGCTGGGCAGTCCGACAGTGGAGCCCGCCCCAGGGGTACGGCGTCTACCTGTTCATCAAGTTCCCCGGTCGGGATGTGGAGTTTGCTGCCCAGACGGTCGTGTTGGGAAAAAGGGCTGTCACCACTGCTCGGGGGGAGTTTATTGGAATAGCCAGGAAGGTGAGTAGTGGGAATTCCATTAGTTTAGTTACAATGTAGTATACTGGAATAGCCGTGGAGGAGGGAGGTAATTGGAATAGCCAGGTTGGTTTGTAGTTAGTGTTCCTTTATGGTATTACGAGCCGACCCGCGGCATATCATATGCCGCTATTTAGTTGTTTTATTTTCTACTTTTCAGTAATTCATAATTTGTGAATTCGACAGTACCAATGCTGCCACTGAAAATATTTGCTTTAAAACACTATCAGTAGGTCGTTAAGAACGATACTACCCCCACCCTCCTTTCCCCCAACCCCTACCCCCACCCTCCTTTCCCCCAAACCCTACCCTACACCCCCCCCCCCCCCCGTGAAAGCAGCCTCCTCTTAGTTACCTCCCCTAAGTTTAAAATTGTTTCAAACTAAATTATCTGCCCTTAATAGCCGTCACTAAACCCGGCTCTACGAATGTAAACATTTAGCGTTAACCAAAGCTCACCAGACCATGTAGGGGTGGGGTGGTAGGGAGCGCGCTTACAGCTTGTTTTCTAGCGTCTCCCAGAAGAGAATTATATATATAGATAATTAGATTTATATTTAGTGGAAGGTTATAGGAATAGCCAGAAAGGTAAGTAGTCGATATAGGGCTGGTAAGTAGGTCACCACCCAGTTCTACGGCTCAATAAAACCTGCATGAGCCATATAACTGCTTGGTCACCTACTTACCAGTCCTATTCCATTAGAGAAGTGTACAGGATGAGGGGGGGGGGGTATATTGGAATTGTCGCAACAAAAAGTTAGTGTTCAGGGTGAAGTGTTGAGCTAGCAAGAAAGTACCTGTTGTTACGAAATTTAAAGTAGTATAGCCGGGTGAGGGCTGGAGTTCATACAACATCTACAGGATATCGTGCTGATCATCCTTACTCACGCCAAGAGAAAAGAAAAAAAGTGGACTGTGCTTCTCCTGCTGTGTGTACTATCATGAATAGGAGATTGGTTAACACTACTTATTAAGGTCAATGGGACGGAGTGGTCTAGCGGTAGAGAGCTGGACTGTTAACCCGTTAGTCTCGAGTTCGAATACGGGTTCAAGTCAGTAGACCGTCCCTGAGTCCACCCAACTCTGATGGGTAGCTAACTCACGTTAGGGAAAGTAAAGGCGGCTGGGCATAGTGCTGACCACACTATCTCTTCATATGCCGAGGTCACAGAAACAAGTGAACTCTACTTCACTTACCCCATAGACCGTCAGGTTTGAAAGGGAAACTTTACTTTACTTTTACTTATTAAGGTCAATTGGAATAGTCAGAAGGAAGAACAGAATATCTACATATAGTAACTCCTGAGTTGTAGATAAGCTTGTTAGAAATTTCTTTTACTTTTCGACACGAGGGTTTTTATACGTGGGTTTTATTTATTTTTTTCCTAAAGTATTTTATTTGAGTCTCATCAATATCAGTTATTTTTATAAAATAGGTAGGCCCAGTGGCGTAGCGAGGTCGGGTGTCACCCGGTGCCGAGACGTAGCGACCCTTCCCGGGGACAAATTTTCAATCTGCACCCCCCCCCCTCAAGTTTTCGATTTGCAGCCGCCCTCAAGCTTTCGATTTCCACCACCCCCCGCAAGTTTTTCTCTATATATTTTGCTATTTATTGCCTTGGTGTCACCCCCCTAAATGGTGTCACCTGGTGCGATCCGCACCTCCGCACCCCCCCCCCCCCCCCCATCGCTACGCATCTGGGTAGGCCTAATATAATTTTTAAAAATAAAAAAAAATTATAAATTGAATTCTGAAACCATGTATGCCCTAGTATAGAAAATATTTCCGTTGAGTAAAAAAAAATTCTATCACCAGGTACACGACCTGAGTTCGGGACCACGCCAGAAAGAGGCGCTCGTTGTTTACCTATTTGAATCCACGGAGGCAGCCACCAGATTTTTCGTCAGCGATACCCGATTCAAGCAGCCAGACTTCCCTCCCCCTGCTGGTGCCTGTGAGGCGTGGACAGTGGTCAAGTTCTTGGAGACGAGAAGCGATGACCGTGAGTAGTCGTGAGGATGTTGATTGAGTCGCCGTGTGAGTTTCAGCTTTGTTTCTTTAGGTTCGTGGCAGTGGTGAGACACAGGAGGCAGATGAAGTAGAGTGTATCTGCTTTAGAGACCTCGGCGTATGAAGGGATATTGGGTAACTAACTCACGTTAGGGAAAGCAAAGGCGGCTGGGCATAGTACTGACCACACTATCTCTACATATGTCGATGTTGCTAAAGCAGATAAACTCTACTTCATTTGCCCCATGTGTCTTGGGCAACACTGTCGAGGTCAAAGAAACAGGTGAACTCTACTTCACTTTCCCCGCAGACCGTCAGGTTTGGTAAGGCAACTCTCACTTACTTACTGCTGATATACATTTTGTGCAAATAATTTTTTTTTTAAACTGAATAAAAATATGTTTAAAAATATACTCAAATATAATTCTAATCATCCATAATAAATTACAAACTCGATATGTGGTATGAGTTCAAACTAATGAACACCAGTGAGTTGACGAAAATCCTTCCGTAATGTTGTTGACATGGAATAAAAATGTGCTTTTTTAGATTTAGGACCATAAAAATAATAAAAGATAAAATTTTATTAAAAACGTAAGCCTAAAATTAATTTAGAAATTTTATATTTTTAGAATCAATGCTATACAAGTTGCAGATCCAGAGAACTTGAAAATAATTTGTTGAGTTTAAGGTTACATTTCTATTTATTTTCATCAAGCCTAAGTTATAACCCGATGTTTCACTTTCGTAAGAAAAAAATTGATTGGCTGTAAAGGAACTCAGGGATCAATTTCTGACAGCCCCACTTTATAGTTATTTTGTTTACAAAACTTTGCAGACCAAGTTTTAAAATAACAATGCAAATTTAAACACCATGACCTAGTTTTTCTATTTTTAGCCTGCAATGTGTACAATAAAATTTATGGCGGCCTATCGAATAGCAGGATGCCATTGTTTATGTCGCCATTACACGTGAAAACCAAATTGTTTTTGCTTTTTTTTTTAATTTTTATTTAGTTACCGAAAATAATAAAAACATCAAATAGTAAAGTCCGAAAAAAACCAGACAGACAGGATTTTATAACAATATTAATTGTAACTACGCCGTGCAAGATTTTTAAATTAATTTATGGACCTCTAAAATACCTTTGAGACTTTTCTCGCTGGTGACCATTGAAAAAACTTGAACTGATAATTTTTCAAATAGATAAGGGAGACAACAAGTAAATTGATTATCAAAATCCTTTTAAAATGAAGATACATTCTATAAATAGAAACTCTTAACTAACCATTTTTTTCTATTATTTTGTTTAATACAGACAATAAACATAGTAATTGAATATTTCTCTAAAACTTTGTATTTTATTAAACTAAAATTATAATTTTACCAATCTTTAAATAATAAAAACTATCATGTTCTTACATATTTAATTTATTCAAGAGGTATACAAATATTTTATTATTGCTACCTCGTTTCCTGTATTGTTTTACTATTAATTTCTCCCGCTGTTTATGTTGTAAAAAATTCTTAACAAAACTGTAAAAACATTTAAGACTATTATGGTATAAATACCATTTTTGTATTTCTTAATTTCAAATTACCTTCATTTGAATTGTTGACCGACAAACCCTTTTTTACTACTGTTCACCATTTTCTCCATGTAATGATATTTTTTGTAAATGTTTGAATTATGTTACAGACTAACGCTCACACACATTTGTATATGCTGATGTAATTATTTCTATTAAAAAAAAATAAAATACTTAAAAAAACTTTTTAAAAAACCACGTTTTTCTTGTGGACTAAAAAGTAGAAAATAAATTTTCATACATTTGATGACAAAAAACGTGGGTACGTTCACCATCAAATTTCCCGACCCATCTGCCCGACCCACGTTTTTTGTCATCAAATGTATGAAAATTTATTTTCTACTTTTTAGTCCACAAGAAAAACGTGGTTTTTTAAAAAGTTTTTTTAAGTATTTTATTTTCTCCTTTTTAGTCCGTTGCTACACATGAAAAACGTGGTTTTTAAAAAAGTTTTTTATATAGTTTATTTTCTACTTTATCTAATGACTTGATTAAGTATGACTTGACTAAGTGTTTATAAATACACGGACTAAAAATCTTGAGCGACCAGGATTCGAACCTGGGTTGTCGCGGCCACAACGCGAAGTACTAACCGCTATACGATCACGGCCAGCGCGCTCACATCGATTGGGGCCGAAGTAACTGTGTCAATAGGCCTCCAGTCTTGTCGGTATCTTTAGAAATCATGTCCTCAATTTTATGGTCCTTGGGGCGTAATTAAATTAAGCTAATTACGGTCTCTAATTGCTAGTTTTTATGATTGCATCTGAAATTGTTAGGCGAAAGTAGCCTACATGCCAAATTTCAGATCTCTAGAGCAATCAGAAGTGGGCTAATTTTCGATGTCAATTTTAACAACAAACATCCAAACAAACAAACAAACGCGAAGCTGAGTTAAGAAAAACGTGTTAAAAAGTTAAAAAAAAAAACACAATCTGCTCAACCTTAACCCTTATGTTTCCAAATAAACCAAAACCTACATGTACCCTAATGGTTCCTAGTATACACGACCTACATGTTCCCTTATGTTCCCCCGTTTTATAGACTTAATTTTCCCCGTATGTTTCCCAGTTATAAATACCCCTATGTTCCCTTGTGATCCCTAGTATGCAGGACCTACATGTTCTCTTATGTTCCCCAGTTCAAGACCTAAATGTTCCTTTATGTTCCCCAGTGTACAAGACCTACATGTTCCCTTATGTTCCTCAGTATACAAGACCTACATGTTCCCTTATGTTCCCCATTACACAATATCTGCATGTTCCTTCATGTTCCCTAATACACAAGACCTACATGTTCCCTTATATTCCCCATTACACAATATCTGCATGTTCCTTCATGTTCCCTAATACACAAGACCTACATGTTCCCTTATATTCCCCAGTATACAAGACCTACATTTTCCATTATGTTCCCCAGTATACAAGACCCACATGTTCCCTTATGTTCTCCAGTATACAATACCTACATGTTCCTTTATGTTCCCCAGTGTACAAGACCTACATGTTCCCCAGTACAAGACCTACTCGTTCCTTTATGTTCCCCAGTATACAAGACCTACATGTTCCCCAGTACAAGACCTACATGTTCCCTTATGTTCTCCAGTATACAAGACCTACATGTTCCCTTATGTTTCTCATTATACCAGACTTACAAGTTCCCTTATGTTCCCTAGTATACAAGACCTACATGTTACCTTATGTTCCCCAGTATACAAGACCTACATGTTCCCCAGTACACAATACCTACATGTTCCCTTATGTTCCCCAGTATACAAGACCTACATGTTCCCTTATGTTCCCAGTATACAAGACCTACATGTTTCCTTATGTTCCCCAGTATACAAGACCTACATGCTGTGTGACAACACCCTCAGGTCCGCCTCCTACTCTGAGTACAAGGAACAGTTCGCACATCCGTTTTCACAGCTTATACTGGAATATGGCGGCCAGGTCAGTCAAGCACTTCCGGGTTCGAAAGGTCAGGTTTGTTTCCCTTGAACTCATCACCCAGCATAGTTAACCTTGACCCCGTTTCTGTGTGCAGCCGTTCGTGGTCCAGTCCATCGGGGTGGAGTCACTGAGGCGTCATCACGTGGACCCCAACACCATGGTGACGCTGCACTTGTTTAGGGAGGAGGACGATATCAAGAGGATGATGGGAGACCGTGAGTAGATGGTCACGTGGGTGGGTGTACTTGACAGGGGGTTATGTAGTCAAGTGAACTGGTCATGTGGTTAAGTGAACTGGTCATGTGGTTAAGTAAACTGGTCATGTGGTTAAGTGAACTGGTTATGTGGTTAAGTGAACTGGTCATGTGGTCAAGTGAACTGGTCGTGTGATTATGTGAACTGGTCATGTGGTCAAGTGAACTGGTCGTGTGATTATGTGAACTGGTCATGTGGTCAAGTGAACTGGTCGTGTGATTATGTGAACTGGTCATGTGGTCAAGTTACTGGTCATGTGATTATGTGAACCCATCGCTTGATCAGTTACACTTGTCACTTGATGTAAACACGCGGGACGGAATATTTCTGGTCAACACTTGTGAAAGAATCCAAAGAATAGAGGGTCCCGTAGAATTCTTTTAAAGCTTACTTTGTTTGAGGTTACTCGTGTATACATCCTCATAAAGGTTGGAAATATAAAAGAGCTATATAACCTTTTACAATGTAATTGATACGTTATATTTTTTTACAATCACAATGTAATTGATACGTTATATTTTTTTAAAATCACAATGTAATCTGTACATTCAATTTTTTTTTACTATCAGCACGCTACGAAGAATTGAAGCGGCGTCAGATTGCCATGGCAACAGACTTCACTTCCGTGTTTACCATTGACCCACAGGCGTGTCCATAACGAGGGTGACCTAAATAGCCAGTATGGACAGCAGCGGGGGGTTAAAACAATGAATAATTTGAAAATGTATTTATGTCAACATTTCTGTATAAAATAATCTTGCATAAAAATATCTTTTAAACAAGCATTATTTTCATTGTAGATACAGGACAGTCATATCTGAGATTGTTTTTAACTTCAATGACAGTACACCATTTTATCTGTGATATCATTAAAGTATTCTTATTCATAACACTTGTAATTAATTTTAACAAGACATTAACTTATCTTATACCAAACAAGTGACTATGTTTATATAAATAGGGCCTATGCGTCGACTATTCTAAGACCTAAAACTGCAACACATTCTTTTCTTACATCTACTTCCAATAACACAGCTATCAGTAGTATCAAGCCCCACGTAACGCCTTGTTACGCACAGCAGAAATTTCACGCAAGGAAATTGCACATGCGAAAAATTCCGCACAGAAAAGAATGCTTAAATATATATCGCGCACACAGAAAATGCGTTCTCACAATACAATATCTCGCATGTCACCAAACAATAGAAATTAAAAGAAGGCTATGTACCATACACTACAATAAACATCCATTTTGTGATGCTCAATTTTTTTTTATGTATTATTTCAATAACACTACTGTCTCTTAAAACAAATTTAATATGTCGTTTTAATATAATCGCTATTTAAATTAATCCACATTACCTCCATAAAATTAGCAGAACTGCGAATACTTTGGGGTATAAAAGTGAAACAACTTAATATTAAAATTCATCAAAACTTAAGCAATTTTAAATTTTAAAAAGAAACAGCGTATTGTAAATAGTTTGTTTATCAACAAATTTATTTTAACCTACTGTTCTAATCTTATTTCTTTAGTAGCTATTTAATTATTTTTGTTTCCAAATGACAGCATTAACCGGCTATTTACTTCTATGACTTAACGTATTGATTTCCAACTCCAAAATTTGTTCAGATATTTTACTGATCGTCCCCCTTTATTTAATTTTATCTCCCTTTGGTAGGTTATATTTCTTAAACAAAACATTAAAGTAAAGTAACTACAGAATATATCTTTAAACTCGTTACTTTCGGAATATCTGACTTTTTTTTTAACTCTCTAATGTTATTTGAATAAACATATTTGATCATACTGAAAAAGATTTCTAGTGCCATGTTTTTCATTGTGATAGTTTTTCACTTTTGTGCTAAACTAATGTATAATCTACAGAGCTGGTCTAGTGTTGAACTAGACATACCTAAAGTATCTAGATCACATTCCTTAACCATTGAAAACACAAGCAAAAGTCTAGACACTTCGATTGACACATTGAATCACCATCTAATTTAGCATTTAAATTTTCAGGTTAAAAAATAAAATTGAAATGAAATGTTTGGTATTATGTATAAGTAAACCATCTTAAATGAATGAAAGTAGGCTGCATGTCAGAAATAAGTATTACTATTGTAAATCTGTATCAGGCTTCACAAGCCGTTGATGAAAACTGTAATACTAAAGCAATCATAGGAAACTGATTTTGCAAACTACTTGTATGAGGAAAAAAAAGGGGATAAAAAATATACTATGAATGTAAAATAGATTCATTTACTGTCCCATAAAGACGTGTGGATTCTGACGCTAAATAGTTTGTTAATTCTCGTAAGATATAGGTGGGAGGGTGGGTGGGAGGGGGGTGCTTCTATCGCGACGACGTATGACAATGGGGCGGTGAAGGAAGGTAAAAAGTGGGAGGGGGGGTTATTTAAAATTTAATCAACAGCCTGTCTAAAACTCAAAAGGGCTTAGTCAATCTCGGATTTGTACCTGCACTCGGTGTTTTCGTGCGTTTACATTTGCAACATGTATACTATACATATCTAGGGGGATATACTCGCAGCAAGTGAGTATAGTTTAAAGTGGGAAAAATGTTTTCATTTAATATATAACGTTTTTCGGGGTTTTTTTTTTCCTGGATATTTATCTATCTATATATATAATTCTCCTCATGTACACCACGACGCAGCAAGCCGACTTTCTAACCCTCCTCCCGCCCCCTCCCTTGCTCTCCAGTCTTGTGAGCTGTAGCTCATGCCCATTGTTTACAATCGTAGAGCCGGGTTGAATTAGTGACGGCTATTATGGGCAGATAATTTAGTTTTTAGGGGGTTAGGGGTGGGGGGATTATCGTCCTTCACGAGCTAATGATAGTGCTTTAAAGCAAATATTTTCAGTCGCAGCATTGGTAGTATCGAATTAACAAATTATGAATTACTGAAAAGTAGAAAATAAAATAACTAAATAAGTGTGAACGTGGTGTTGAGTTTCAGGCGTATCAGAGAGCCCATGAAGTCCTGACTCTACCAGTGTAACTATGGACCACGCCTCTGTCAAGGTCCCTAGCAACCATGTCAACTCTACCGCCGCAACCATTCACGTCGACCCACATACCCACGGCGGGTGTTGTGACAGAGATTTTTGTGGCCGCTAATCCTTGTGTTATTTGTACGATACGGCGTCGGATCAGGGAACTAATGCTCAGGCTTAATCCCTGCATAGATTTAGGTACAGAAGACTCGTGGGTATTAAATCACGTGGGTCGGGGGTTAGGAACTGCTGGACTTTTTTTTTAGTACAGCTATATATATATATATATATATATATATATATATATATATATATATATATATATATATATATATATATGTATGTGTGTGTGTGTGTGTGTGTGTGTGTGTGTGTGTGCGTATGTGTGTGTGTAACGTGTGGCCAAGGGTATTAAATACTCGTATGTGTGTAACCTATGACCAAGGTACTTAAATACTCGTATTGTCATGGGTATTAAATATTCGTTTGCGTGTAAATTATAGCTAAGTGTACTAAAATACACGTAGATATATGTGTAACGCATGGCCAATAGTACTTAAAAACTCCTATATGTAATGTATGACTAAGGATACTTAAATACTCGTGTATGTGTAAAGTATGGCTAACGGTACTAAAATACTCGTAAATGTAATGGATGGCCAGGGGTACTTAAAGGCTCGTATATGTGTATACTGGCGGACGTAAAATGTAAGATATCTTAGACAGGTGTCGTAAAAACTAAGACAGGTGTGTAATGCAGGATAGGTACATGAATTATATGTCGGTGTGTTTTGTAGGTCAAGCCTAGTGAAATAGCACAGCATTACGCCATTGTTCAACACATAACCTTGACCTTCAGTGGAATACTAAGATAAGTGATCTTAGTCTTGATCTGGGTATCAGTAGGACAGATACAGTAGAGTTTACCTGATTCTTTGACCTCGGCATATGAAGGGATATTGCAGCCTTTAATTTCACAAAGTCGGGTACCCAACAGGGACGTCCCCTGAAGTTATCCAAGTACGATACTACCTATGACGGTACTGAACAAAACAAGACCTTAAAACAATAAAGGCGTCCCTTAAAATATAACAGTCTTGAACTTTTGAACTACTATACAATAAAAATTGAGTACATATATCAAAGCAGCATTACAGCACATACCCTAACCTTACTTCATCTGACGTTTCCATTGCCTCTGTGAGATTATAACAAGTTAAAGTTTTTTAATTTTATTTCAATCATCAATCATCAAGCAATCAATCATCCCTTAACCCATATTAGGGGCGCTGGGGCATCGCAGCCGATTTTCTCATAATTTACCGCCGTCTGCTGTAAGTAGTTCTGCAACGAGCAGCCTAGTTTAGTCTGTGGTGTCCTCCTTTTCAATGTCGTCTTAACCTTCCCTTTCTCAGAGTTTCTTCCAGGCATCTTTTCGGGGGTGCCCACCCCCACCGAAATAAGTCTACCGCCACCCCCCCCCCCCCCCCCCTGGAACGAAATGGAATTTATATAGAAAATATATACTTTTAACAGTGACCTCCCCCCCCCCCCCCGAAAATTTCAAGGTCCCCCCTTCATTTGCTCCTTCTTCTCCCTCCTGGCGCAGTGCCTTGCATTATTGTTTAAGATAGTATTGCTAATGTAAACTCCAAAGTATACCGTTCCAACAGTGGCTTTAAAAAGATAGACACAAAACATCACATCGTTTATTAACACACCGTTAGCGTAGTAGAACATTGTATTTCAATCTCTAACCTTAACCTAATGTTAACCACATCATGGGGGTTTATTAATTATGACATGAGATTTCCGCTATAAAGTTTATGTGCGTGCAAGCCATAGATAAGAAGCAATATTTTAAAGAGCAGTCTTTCTATAAATCAAAATATACCAGACATTCAAATACAAAACACACATTGAGAAAAATCAATTTTACTTTTACTTGGCCCATTTGTAGGGCGCCCAGTCGCTATTGACGGAGACGAGCTTATAACTGAATACTTTATGGCGGAATAATCTCCCTCTTTTGTAGGGCTGTGTCACGGATAGTAGACACGTGTGTGCAATCCGAAATGACCTAATTTATATTGGTTTCCGCGTGCACCTAGATCAGAGTGTTCTTCTGGTTGTGTTGGGTGTGTTTTTGTAGTTTTGTTTGAGTGTGTTAGTTCAATGTATGACCTGAAATGGTGTGCCTGACATACGTTTTCATGAATGGCCTATGTCTGACATACGTTTTAAAGCAAGGCCTATGAATTCATGCATGACCTGTGAATTCATGCATAGCCTCGTGTTTACAAATGATTTATAAAGTTTTATTTTTACAAGCTTTACTTTGGCCACAATATGTGTCTTGCTGTCAGACTCAGTGACCAATCTCTCGACTCAATTAGACCTATTTCTAAGGTAGTTACTTGCATCTCCGAAGACAAGGCAAGAATATTTAATTTTCAATAAAATTAGTAGTTAAAATTAAAATAAGTCAAATTTACTATTCTTAAATATATTTTTTTTTAAATTGGGGGGGGGGGGGGGGGGTGTGCAGGGCGGATAAGGACGTTCACTCGTTCAGGGAATTTCGACGGTGTTAACATCAAAAGTATTTTACTTTCACAGCCAGATCGCACGTTAACAAGAGACAGAAAAGACTCATGCGAAGTGATTTTATTGGGAAATATTTGTGACATTAAGTCTTTCGGCCATAAATCAAGCTTTGATAGTTATATAAGAGGTCAAGAACGATCGAAGCAAGCATACCGCCCACTCCTACCCCAATCGAATTAGCTGAAATAAATATTTATATAGAATATATATATATATATATATATATATATATATATATATATATATATATATATATATATATATATATATATATATATATATATACTTCAACAAGTGTATGTGTGTGTGTGTGTGTGTGTCACAACCGCACGGAAATTTAACTGCCCTCCCCAAATTTTTCAAGTGTCCCCTCCCCTTGCAGAAAAATGTATGTAAGAAACACTGCTACTAAAAGGTGGCTTTTTAAAAAACAAAAAAGACAATTACAACTTTCTTTTTAAAATTAGTATTTACACTTAAAACGCTAATACTGTTTTACGAATATTGATAATGATTAACTTTTTCAACTGAACAACCTTCCTAATACAGTCCCATCAAATTGAAAGTTATTTCCCCTTCACAAAACACACTTGTCGTTTCAGCCAGTTCGAGGCACGCCCGCGAAACTTCGTTACCTAAGTAATAGGATAATAGGTTCTCATTACACCTCAAACGCCTCACCAAGGTCACCAAGGGCACACGTGTTTTCCCTGCAGAAGTCAGCGTCGCGGGCGATTCGTGCGAGGGACTTTCCTTCGGGCCGTTTTTCTATAACCCTCTGATTTGGCCTAATCTCTAGTTCAAATAGCGACCTTTGTTCCAGCACAATAACTTGATACGTCACCGGAACACATCAAACGCTGTCGTCACAGGTACGCGTTTAGCGCTAACGTCGACCAAACGTGCGTACATTTTTTTTTCATTCAAAGTTGTGTTGTATTACTGGTGTTGAAAGTTGCGGTGCTTATTCAAACGCCGACTGATTGTATTCAAGCGATGGTTTTTGTTAACAAAATAAAAAGTAGAATTTCCAGGCCTGATTCATATGAAGGGCAAGTGAAGTAGAGTTCCTCTGTTTCTTTAACCTCCGCGTATGAAAAGAGTGTGTGATCTGTGATAGGCCTAGCCACAATTTATGATTAATCCTAAAACTATAACCTAAGTTAGGGGCTTAGGGGTCGTCCATAAATGATGTCACACTCGTAGGGGGTAGGGGGGTCCGTAATTTTGTGACGGTGTGTGATGAGAAGGAGGGGGGGGGGGGGGTTCAGATGTTGTGACGTCACTTTTTTGCATTATAAAAAAAACAATGTTAGAAAACTAATTTTAGCCGATATTTCGCGTTTTAGAAAACGGTTATAATAAATTGTAATAAGAATTGATCAAAATACTTTTTGTTAACAGAGTTCAGACAAGATGTTGGAAAAATATCGATGGTATAAGAAAACTTCAACTGCAATTTTGAGGGGGGGTTGAAGGCTGAGGTGTGACGTCATTTTAGGGGGGGGGGTCTGCATTTTTGTGACGACGTGTGAAGGAGCGGAGGGGGGAGGTAAAAATCATCCCAAAAAAAGCGTGACGTCATTTTTGGATGACCCCCTTAGCCATACATATACCCTAACATTAGACCTGACCCTAACCCTAACTCTAGCACTGACCTTAACCTTGACAACGATCCCGACCACACAAATAAAAATATCGATACAATAATGTATTGCCTTTTTTTATAACAACCCATGTAGCAATAAAAAGTACACAGTCAAAGCCAGATTAGGAGAAACTAAGGAACTAAGTCGGTGGTATAAAAAAAAATACGTTGTACAGGTATACCCCCTCCACCCACCCTCCCACACACACATACAGTCACCCTTCCCCACCCTCATATGGGGGTAGATAAAAGACGATTAAAACCAGAGTTAAATTCCTCTGAACCTTCGCTCTATTGAAAAGGTCGGTATCGATTTTTAACACAGATTTCTATACAGTCAGAAATAGTTCTGGTTTAATTAAAAAAATAAAAGCTTTAATTCTTATCCTTAGAGAAAACTAGGGATTTATGCTTGCCGATTTCAGACAATAGGAAACGTTTAATAACTTTAAATAACTTTTAATTATGTCAGTAGAATAAGTGAATATGTTTCAATGAAGAAATACTTCACGAGTTTTCCTTTATAAGGTACCATTACCTAGCGTAGCATTCAAACATTAAACTGTACAACATCAGTCACTTTTTACACATAGTATTGAATCGGTGCTCATAACTAAAGCAGATGAAACTATTTTGAGTAGATAGACTCTACTTCATCTGCTGTATGTAACCAAACTTTATTTGATTAACTGTTTTTTTATGTTTGGGGGAGGTAACTCTATCAAACTACACCAGGGGATAAAACTCATGATAAAAAAAACTTGTGTGGCTGTTTTGTGTTCGTCAGATTACAAATAAAGCGTGCACACACAATGACAGTTTTAATTGTCACGGTACTGAGATAATGTAACAGCACTGAGATAGATACTGTCACGGTACTGAGATAATGTAACAGCACTGAGATAGATACTGTCACGGTACTGAGATAATGTAACAGCACTGAGATAGATACTGTCACGGTACTGAGATAATGTAACAGCACTGAGATAGATACTGTCACGGTACTGAGATAATGTAACAGCACTGAGATAGATACTGTCACGGTACTGAGATAATGTAACAGCACTGAGATAGATACTGTCACGGTACTGAGATAATGTAACAGCACTGAGATAGATACTGTCACGGTACTGAGATAATGTAACAGCACTGAGATAGATACTGTCACGGTACTGAGATAATGTAACAGCACTGAGATAGATACTGTCACGGTACTGAGATAATGTAACAGCACTGAGATAGATACTGTCACGGTACTGAGATAATGTAACAGCACTGAGATAGATACTGTCACGGTACTGAGATAATGTAACAGCACTGAGATAGATACTGTCACGGTACTGAGATAATGTAACAGCACTGAGATAGATACTGTCACGGTACTGAGATAATGTAACAGCACTGAGATAGATACTGTCACGGTACTGAGATAATGTAACAGCACTGAGATAGATACTGTCACGGTACTGAGGTAGATACTGTCACGGTAGTGAGTTAGATACTGTCACGGTACTGAGATATATATTGTCACGGTACTCAGATAGAAATTGTCACAGCACTAAAATGCTCTCACAGTACTGAGGAACACTGCCACGGTACTGAGATAGATACTATCACGGCACTCAAAGAACACTGTCACGGTACTGAAAGAACATTGTCACGTCACTCTAGATATTTTAGCCATGTTTGTAACCAACACCCGAGAGACCCAGCCCTAGCAATCACATAAGATCAAATATCGAGTGATTTCCAATACAACCTATCGATTTTCCTTTCTTTACGCTATATCGTCCCAACCCCATTTGCCCCGCCTCACCTTCGCCACACACTTTCAATAGACAGTACATAGGTAAGGAAAGGCTGGCTTGTTGGTCTTTTAGTGTCAATGTGCTAGTCTAGCATAGGTGTGTGTGTGTCAATACGTGTGTCTGTGTGTGTCTGTAGATACGTGTGTGCATGTAGGTATTCGCGTGTGTGTGTTTGTCTGTGTGTGTCTGTGTGTAGATACATAAGAGGTGAAAGGTGCAAAGGAATCGGTGACAGTTTGCTCAGCGTTTAGCAGAGGGGGGGGGGGGGAGTGATCGATATTGACAAAAGATCGATAATATTTTCAATTTAGTTTTTTTTTTCTCTTATCTAGATAGGTATTTGGCGTCTTGGTGATCCGTCAGCTGTAAACACGGTTTCACTGCGGCCTCCATTTTAAACTCTTGTTTTGTCGCAGTAAGTTTTTTTATTACAAAGATTGTTATGTGTGTGTAGTTATCAATCATTGTGTTGTGATCGTGTAATTTGTTATTTTGATTTATTTTTTTAATATTTGAAAGTTAATTTCTAAGTTAAATTAAAATCATGGGTAGCAACGGAAGCTTCGGTTGGCCAGATTTCGGTCCTAGGTTACGGCCAAGGGATATTTCGTGATGGCCAATGTGGCAAGTCGCTAGCACGAACGTGTTGTTTCTTATAGCGGCCGGCATCGGTTGTTGTTCGTATTGTTTGTTTACCTTTAGGTAATCACACCTGTGACAGGTACGTCAACATTGAACAACCATTTCTTATATATTGGTTTATTATAATTAATTATATTAATTTTGTGGTAAATGATCGTTTTCTGTTACATGGGACCAAATTGTAGTACATGTAAGCCTACATCTATGACTGTATATAATACAGGCTACATTGATATTATCAAACAATATCGGTTGATATTTTTTTATAATATACAGGTTCTTCTACAAATCCCTGTAGGATTTAAATGTTAAGGGTCGGTTATAAATATTTATTTAGTTTATAAGGTGTGTTAAGCATTGAACAGCAAGTACACTGGCCGGACTTACGTAATATATCAATTAGATTGTTTAGAAAATTAGATAGCCTGATATTCGTGATAGTAATAATAATAGTAATAATAATATGAAGAAGAAGAAGAATAGTAATAATAATAATAATTATTATTATTATTATTATAAAAATAATAGTAATAGGCCTTAATAAAAAAAAATAATAATAATAATAGACCTAATAACAAAAATAACAATAATAAAATTAATAATAATAATAAAATAGGCCTATATCTATTCATATGTTTCATTATACCCTTTAGGCACGTGTGTATGAGTGTGTATGTGTGTGCGTGCGTGTGTGTGTTTTAATGTGTAGAAACTTTAGCAAACACTAGGCTTCTATTGAACGTCCTTAACTGTATTTGTTTGACACTTCTGATAACAACCCGGTGTCAATACTTTTGTCATGTTTGTTAACACATAGTTTTACCAGAAACCTATCAGTTTTTTTCTGGCCTGTATCAACATTGAGCGGTCATGCTATCGATTTTTGTGTGTAATTAAATCAAATGAAATGCACGTACCAGCTACCTATAAGGGCAGGTACGTGAGGATTGGGGACATAGATTGAATGACGCGAATTCATTAGAATGCAGGTGAGATTTTAATAGGTCCAGGTGTAAATTTACATTTGGAAGAGCTTGTCAGTCAGAGAACAAATTGTTTGCCAATACATAGGCTAGTATACGGAGCTTAAATGAGTTATTCGTTGGAGCTTACATGCGGTAGTTATTAGAGTTTAACTTAGGTAATTAGTGGAGCTTATATATGGTAGTCATTGGATCTTTCCAAGGGTAGTTATTGGAACTTTAAAAAGTTAGTCATTGGAGCTTAAATATGTCAATTTTTTGAGATCATATAAGGCCATATATATACATATATATATATATATATATATATATATATATATATATATATATATATATGGGACGGCGTGGTCTAGCGGTAGAGAGCTAGACAGCTAACCCGAGAGTCTCGAGTTCGAAATCCGAGGTTAAATCAGTGGAAACAAAGGCTGCTTGGCATAGTGCCGACCACACTACCCCTTCATATGCCGCGGTCAATGAATCAGATGTACTCTACTTCATCTGCCCCTTTTGTCTTGGCCACGACCGGTAGACATCTGAGCTTAATTACTGAAGTGGAAACAATGATTGGGTTGTCAGTGCGTAGTCTGGAGATTAAACTTGGTTGTTGGGGCTGAATTAAGGTATTAAGTAAAGCTTTAACAAACTAACGATTTGAGTTGAACTATGGTAGAATAATAAGATTAGTTCATGTGATCAAAAATAACATTTTAGAGGAGCAAAATAATATGTAGCTAATAGCTATTAAAGTAGAGTGTAAAACTAGGTTGGTAGGCGAACTAGTAACACTTCTAAGGAGCCATGTTTAGATTGTAGAAACTAGCGATTGATTCACATATTTGCAAGATTAAAAGTTCAACTGTTAAGTTAAATATCTGTATACCAGGAATAGATAAAAAAAAACAATAGATAAAGACAATATCTATAAACCAGCTAGCTGTAATAAGGCGAAAACGTGCATACAATCAATAAGGGGGAACTACCCCCTCAAACCAAAATCACATAAAACACACGGACAACACCACCACAAAAACCTCAGAGTCAGAGAGTAAAGCATCTACTTAAGTTTTAAAATGACATCATCAATCAAATTTCTCAGCTATAAATAACACCGTTGATCGAGATTATTATAAGTCAGAGAGTGGCAGTGATTGATTATAGAATCCAATTACTCACAATGAAGAATTGACAATAAAATTGTGGCCTTACGCCTACGTTAGTGAATGTATTGTTTTCTTTTGATTTATTGGTTTACCAGATTAGACAGTAAACAAAACGCTCCCTCCCCCCCCCATCTACGTAGGCCTATACCACTTGAAATTCTCGGGGGGAGGGGGGGGGGGGCGGTAGACTTTCTTCTTTCTTCGGGGGGGGGGGGGGGGCGGACACTGTTAAAAGCATATATTTTCTATATAAATTATATTAATTTTTATTCTTTCGGGGGGGGGGGGGTGGGGCGGTAGAATTTTTTCTGGGGGGGGGGGGGGGCGGACACTGTTAAAAGCATATATTTTCTATATAAATTATATTAATTTCTATTCTTTCGGGATGGGGGGGGGGGGCGGTAGAATTTTTTCGGGGGGGGGGGGGGGGGGGGCGAAACTCTGATTGTTAATATAATTTCACCTAAACACAATATTTTAAACATGTATGACTATTTTTAACCTCACGTTCTTATACAGTTTATATCATGTCATTTATGATCAAGTATTGTAATTCTTGTTGTTTTTTTAACTTCATTTTTTTAAATTGATTTACAATTAAACATTACATTTTGATTTATTTATTGTTATATTTTTAGATGCCACACTAAAATCTAGGGTTGCCTTTATCAAACCCGGAAGTTTCGCGACCACTCAACCGTTAGATTAACCACAGCATAATCCGTATTATATAACAAATCCAAAAAACAACCAAACTCTCCACCCCGACCCCCACTCTACTCCCACTTCTCTATTCTAGGCCTGCATACAACCTTGGTACACTTCTCTATTCTAGGCCTGCATACAACCTTGGTACACTTCTCTATTCAAGGCCTGCATACAACTTTTGTACTCTTCTCTATTCTAGGCCTGCGTACAACATTGGTACATTTCAAGGCCTGCATACAACCTTTGTACACTTCTCTATTCTAGACCTGCGTACAACATTGGTACACTTCTCTATTCTAGACCTGCATACATCATTGGTACACTTCAAGGCCTGCATACAACCTTTGTACACTTCTCTATTCTAGACCTGCGTACAAAGTTTTGTACACTTCTCTATTCTAGACCTGCGTACAACCTTGGTACACCAACCGGAAGTAAACAATGGCTCGTCCAGCAGCCGACTACCAAAAAATTATCAAAGACAATCGTTCCTCCTACAACTTGATTGCCCATGAACACCACGTGCCTCAGTCCCCCCTATTTGGGCCCTCGCCACGTCAGGGTGGGGGCGATCCCCGACAGGCTGACCCCCGGAGGGATTACGGTGATGGCGGGATGAAAGGACCCAAGGACTACGACAATGTGAGTTCATCTTTATATCGTCCCTTTCATTATAACTTAAGACTTTTTTTTTCAAGATAGTAACTGGATTATTATCGTGAAATATTGATAAATATTGATTTTATAATTTTTTAAATGTTTAGTTTTCTGAAGAAGACTTTTGAAATAAAAAATTGTTATAACTGTTAAAAAAACCAACACTAAAAAAAGTTTTGGATTTTGTCCAGATGAACCCCGCTAGGAACAAAAATTTATTTAAAAAGAGGATATGAAAGTTGTCCTTTTAATTTTAACATTTAAACTAAACCCAAAGTTTCTTCCAGGCATCTCTTCGGAAAGTCTACCCCCCCCCCAAACGAAATAAAATTTATATAGAAAATATATACTGTTACCAGTGTCCGCCACCTCCCGGAAAATTAAGCCCCCCCCCCCCCCCGAAAGTATAAAGTGCCCCCCCCCCCCCCCGTCGAAGAAAAAAGTCTGTTAGAAACACTACCTAAATCCTAAGTAGTGTTTCATTCAGGCATCTCTTGGAGGGGGGGGGCACCATTTATACTTTTACCAGTGTCCAACTCCCCCCCCCCACCCCGTCGACAATTTCCAGCCCCTGCCCCACATTACAAAACCTGACCCCTTATATTTCCAGCCCCTGTCCCATATATCAAAACCTGACCCCTTATATTTCCAGCCCCTGTCCCACATTACAAAACCTGACCCCTTATATTTCCAGCCCCTGTCCCATATATCAAAACCTGACCCCTTATATTTCCAGCCCCTGTCCCACATTACAAAACCTGACCCCTTATATTTCCAGCCCCTGTCCCATATATCAAAACCTGACCCCTTATATTTCCAGCCCCTGTCCCACATGACAAAACCTGACCCCTTATATTTCCAGGCCCGTTCCCATATATTAAAACCTGACCCCTTATATTTCCAGCCCCTGTCCCACATTACAAAACCTGACCCCTTATATTTCCAGCCCCTGTCCCATATATCAAAACCTGACCCCTTATCTTTCCAGCCCCTGTCCCATATATCAAAACCTGACCCCTTATAGTCCCAGCCCCTGTACCATATATCAAAACCTGACCCCCTATATTTCCAGCCCCTGTCCCACATTACAAAACCTGACCCCTTATATTTCCAGCCCTTGTCCCACATTACAAAACCTGACCCCTTATATTTCCAGCCCCTGTCCCATATATCAAAACCTGACCCCTTATAGTCCCAGCCCTTGTCCCATATATCAAAACCTGACCCCTTATATTTCCAGCCCATGTTCCACAGTACAAAACCTGACCCCTTATATTTCCAGCCCGTGTCCCATATATCAAAACTTGACCCCTTATATTTCCAGCCCCTGTCCCACATTACAAAACCTGACCCCTTATATTTCCAGCCCCTGTCCCACAGTACAAAACTTGACCCCTTATATTTCCAGCCCCTGTCCCATATATCAAAACCTGACCCCTTATATTTCCAGCCCCTGTCCCACATTACAAAACCTGACCCCTTATATTTCCAGCCACTGTCCCACATTACAAAACCTGACCCCTTATATTTCCAGCCCCTGTCCCATATATCAAAACCTGACCCCTTATATTTCCAGCCCCTGTACCCCAATACAAAACCTGACCCCTTATATTTCCAGCCCCTGTCCCATATATCAAAACCTGACCCCTTATATTTCCAGCCCCTGTCCCACATTACAAAACTTGACCCCTTATATTTCCAGCCCCTGTCCCACATTACAAAACTTGACCCCTTATATTTCCAGCCCCTGTCGCATATATCAAAACCTGACCCCTTATATTTCCAGCCCCTGTCCCACATTACAAAACCTGACCCCTTATATTTCCAGCCCCTGTCCCATATATCAAAACCTGACCCCTTATATTTCCAGCCCCTGTCCCACATTACAAAACCTGACCCCTTATATTTCCAGCCCCTGTCCCACATTACAAAACCTGACCCCTTATATTTCCAGCCACTGTCCCACATTACAAAACCTGACCCCTTATATTTCCAGCCCCTGTCGCATATATCAAAACCTGACCCCTTATATTTCCAGCCCCTGTCCCACATTACAAAACCTGACCCCTTATATTTCCAGCCCCTGTACCCCAATACAAAACCTGACCCCTTATATTTCCAGCCCCTGTCCCACATTACAAAACTTGACCCCTTATATTTCCAGCCCCTGTCCCATATATCAAAACCTGACCCCTTATATTTCCAGGCCCTGTCCCATATATCAAAACTTGACCCCTTATATTTCCAGTCCCTGTCCCATATATCAAAACCTGACCCCTTATATTTCCAGCCCCTGTACCCCAATACAAAACCTGACCCCTTATATTTCCAGCCCCTGTCCCATATATCAAAACCTGACCCCTTATATTTCCAGGCCCTGTCCCATATATCAAAACTTGACCCCTTATATTTCCAGTCCCTGTCCCATATATCAAAACCTGACCCCTTATATTTCCAGCCCCTGTACCCCAATACAAAACCTGACCCCTTATATTTCCAGCCCCTGTCCCATATATCAAAACCTGACCCCTTATATTTCCAGCCCCTGTCCCACATTACAAAACTTGACCCCTTATATTTCCAGCCCCTGTCGCATATATCAAAACCTGACCCCTTATATTTCCAGCCCCTGTCCCACATTACAAAACCTGACCCCTTATATTTCCAGCCCCTGTCCCATATATCAAAACCTGACCCCTTATATTTCCAGCCCCTGTCCCACATTACAAAACCTGACCCCTTATATTTCCAGCCCCTGTCCCACATTACAAAACCTGACCCCTTATATTTCCAGCCACTGTCCCACATTACAAAACCTGACCCCTTATATTTCCAGCCCCTGTCGCATATATCAAAACCTGACCCCTTATATTTCCAGCCCCTGTCCCACATTACAAAACCTGACCCCTTATATTTCCAGCCCCTGTACCCCAATACAAAACCTGACCCCTTATATTTCCAGCCCCTGTCCCACATTACAAAACCTGACCCCTTATATTTCCAGCCCCTGTCCCATATATCAAAACCTGACCCCTTATATTTCCAGCCCCTGTCCCGTATATCAAAACCTGACCCCTTATATTTCCAGCCCCTGTCCCCGTATATCAAAATCTGACCCCTTATATTTCCAGCCCCTGTCCCACATTACAAAACTTGACCCCTTATATTTCCAGCCCCTGTCCCACATTACAAAACTTGACCCCTTATATTTCCAGCCCCTGTCGCATATATCAAAACCTGACCCCTTATATTTCCAGCCCCTGTCCCACATTACAAAACCTGACCCCTTATATTTCCAGCCCCTGTCCCATATATCAAAACCTGACCCCTTATATTTCCAGCCCCTGTCCCACATTACAAAACCTGACCCCCTTATATTTCCAGCCCCTGTCCCACATTACAAAACCTGACCCCTTATATTTCCAGCCCCTGTACCCCAATACAAAACCTGACCCCTTATATTTCCAGCCCCTGTCCCACATTACAAAACCTGACCCCTTATATTTCCAGCCCCTGTCCCATATATCAAAACCTGACCCCTTATATTTCCAGCCCCTGTCCCGTATATCAAAACCTGACCCCTTATATTTCCAGCCCCTGTCCCATATATCAAAACCTGACCCCTTATATTTCCAGCCCCTGTCCCCCAGTACAAAACCTGACCCCTTATATTTCCAGCCCCTGTCCCATATATCAAAACCTGACCCCTTATATTTCCAGCCCCTGTCCCATATTACAAAACTTGACCCCTTATATTTCCAGCCCCTGTCCCATATATCAAAACTTGACCCCTTATATTTCCAGCCCCTGTCCCACATAACCTGACCCCTTATATTTCCAGCCCCTGTCCCACATTACAAAACCTGACCCCTTATATTTCCAGCCCCTGTCCCATATATCAAAACTTGACCCCTTATATTTCCAGCCCCTGTCCCACATTACAAAACCTGACCCCCTTACATTTTCAGCCCCTGTCCCACAGTACAAAACTTGACCCCTTATATTTCCAGCCCCTGTCCCATATATCAAAACTTGACCCCTTATATTTCCAGCCCCTGTCCCATATATCAAAACTTGACCCCTTATATTTCCAGCCCCTGTCCCATATATCAAAACTTGACCCCTTATATTTCCAGCCCCTGTCCCATATATCAAAACCTGACCCCTTATATTTCCAGCCCCTGTCCCACATTACAAAACCTGACCCCTTATATTTCCAGCCACTGTCCCACATTACAAAACCTGACCCCTTATATTTCCAGCCCCTGTCCCATATATCAAAACCTGACCCCTTATATTTCCAGCCCCTGTCCCACATTACAAAACCTGACCCCTTATATTTCCAGCCCCTGTCCCACATTATAAAACCTGACCCCTTATATTTCCAGCCCCTGTCCCATATATCAAAACTTGACCCCTTATATTTCCAGCCCCTGTCCCATATATCAAAACTTGACCCCTTATATTTCCAGCCCCTGTCCCATATATCAAAACCTGACCCCTTATATTTCCAGCCCCTGTCCCACAGTACAAAACCTGACCCCTTATATTTCCAGGCCCTGTCCCACATTACAAAACCTGACCCCTTATATTTCCAGCCCCTGTACCCCAATACAAAACCTGACCCCTTATATTTCCAGCCCCTGTCCCATATATCAAAACCTCACCCCTTATATTTCCAGCCCCTGTCCCACATTACAAAACCTGACCCCTTATATTTCCAGCCCCTGTCCCACATTACAAAACCTGACCCCTTATATTTCCAGCCCCTGTCCCACATTACAAAACCTGACCCCTTATATTTCCAGCCCCTGTCCCACATTACAAAACCTGACCCCTTATATTTCCAGCCCCTGTCCCACATTATAAAACCTGACCCCTTATATTTCCAGCCCCTGTCCCACATTATAAAACCTGACCCCTTATATTTCCAGCCCCTGTCCCACATTACAAAACTTGACCCCTTATATTTCCAGCCCCTGTCCCATCGAGCAGACGACAACAGAAACCCGGCAGACATGATCCGGCACGAGCATCACGTGCCGGCTTCACCTTTGTACCGACCCGGAGGTCAAGGCTACTCAGAGGTTGACCCCCGCTACGGCACACCTCAGGGAGGAAGGAGGGACTGGATCGGAGGAGGGAGGGACTATGAGGTACTTAGCATTACACAACACGTATCTGCTGTCAAATAGTGTAGTTTCTTTGTCTTGTATATCTGTAGAATTTGTACCATAATTTTTTGGCTTAAGTAGAATTGTAACAAATAATATACCATCTTTGAGGCTCAAGATTTCATCAAGAGGTAAGTGCAATGTAGCAGGACTTTATTATCCAAATGTTCCTTTTTTCAAACTGCTAATATTCTACAAAATAAATTACAACTTTTTTGGAATTATTTCTAAGGCGTAGTTCTTTCAAAATGTATGTCAAAACACCGTGGCGTAATTATTTCAATAAGTCTTATGATGTTTGACTTAGTGGATCTATATGGAGAATATAAGTCCAATAAGTGAAACAATTTAGTTCTGATGTTGAGAGTAAAGTCAGGAAAATGTTCTAATCTTTTAGAGGTACTTACCTTGGTTTTACTTTTTCATTAGAGTCCTTTTTTCAAATGGTCTCCTGCTGTTTTCTTCGCATTGTTTGTTGTTGGTTGTTTTGCTGGTTTTTGGGAGGGGGTGGGGGGAGGGTTTCTTGCTAGGCTTTTTTAAATTGGTTGTGTCCGTTCTAGGCTTAACCAAAAGTCGAGTTTGCAACAAAAGGATGTCCAATATGGATTTTACCATAAGTTATGTAAAACAAAAACCTTTCATTTGAACATTAAAAGATTATGGTAGAAATTTGGCTTCTCGACATGACAAGGTCAACAACAACAGCAAAACCATCCATTACTTTGTTTGTTGTTTTTATTTTTAGCTGAAATACCAATGTTAAAATTCTCTCATGTACGGTCCCGCACATTTTTTTTTTTGGCTTTTTTATTTGTTTCTAGCTTCTATTTAACTCCAACAATTGTATATGGCTAGAAGCTATTCGTAACTATTTTTAATGATAAATTTCAATTTTAGAAAAGCCTATAAATGTTTGCCATTGTTTCTTTTTGTATACAAAATATATATTAAATCATAATTATGTAAGCTTTGTAGTTTTTATGTATTTTTATTTTATGCTTGTTGTAGCTTGCATGTTTATGTTTAATTGATCCTACCGCATGTAAGTGTAGGTCGTGTATTTTATTATTTGAACAATTTGATGTATTTTATTAAAGCAAGACATATGTAAACAAGCTATATTATTTTTTGCAATCTGCTGTAGTTGTTGTAGATATTTCTTTTATAATTTTATACATATTATAATTTCAAACTGAAATAATTTGAAGTTTTAAACCTCATGACAATGAAAACGAATTTTACTAAGCATTACCAACATTATCTTTGTTAATACAATTTACCAATAATTTAATAAGAAGAAAACATAATAATTGTTCATGATGTATATATAAACGTGTTTTGTTGTGCATTTTTGAAACTGGTTGGGTTTCTAAAACATATTTTGTATAGAACGTACTTGCTCAATTGTCCTGAGGTTACTGCATTTTATTTATTTTTGTGACCAATGACACGGCAATTTAAAGCTATTTTTTTTTCCATTTATTTGTATTACCAAATTAATATTTTGAAACACTTTGTCAGACTACAGACACACCGTTGATCATTTTAAAAATGAACCTTTCGGACTGACGGTCTAGATGAAGTAGAGCTCACCTGCAACTGTCATAGTAAGATCAGAACTATGACCAACAGCCTTTACATGGCTGAAATCAAGTCATGTACCCACCGTGTGGTCGCAGACTCCCAACTATTAAAATAACTTTCACAAACTTGCCATTATGTGCTTCCTACATCCAATCTTATCTTAGTTATAATGAAATCGTATCATCTGGACTTAACATCGATCTCAATGACATCGATTTCAAGCCATATTCGTACCCCCCGTCATGAAGCCATTTCATTCTGCCATCACATGTCATGACATCACGTCACACTGACATCACATGTCATGACACCACGTGACACACGAAATCTCACGAGATGTTGGTACACAGGCCCGGCATCAACTGGCGGAGGGCCGTGACGCAAGCAACAGATACAACCAGGTCAAAGGTCACTGGAGCAACACCATAGGGGAGATCAACCACCTGCCCGTGTCGCCGCTCTACCGGCCTGGTCAATTCAGGGGAAGTAACCGATACTACACAGAGGAAGGGAGACAAGTGTGGAAGCCAACAGAGGTGATTTATCCTCTCATGCATTTAAATCATTTTTCGCTCTTTTACGCATGTATCATATATCTGTCTAAAGTGTAAACACGCCAACTATAAATAAACCCCCATACACACTTCAAAATATCTCACATAACGGTAAAAATCGTGCAATTAACTGAAAATAAATATTTCATATATTTAAAAAGAATTAAATAGTAGACAATAAGGATGACACCAAACCGAAAATGCAGTGTTTTTATATGGGGGAGAGGGTTGTGTAACACCCTCAGTGACCGCACCCTTAGACACCACACTTAGTGACACCACTGAAATACATCATATTTGGGGTTGTTTCCTATTTCTGTAGTTTTCTGTATGTTAGGATTTCCTAAACCCAATCCCTCATCACGTAATATCAGTACATTTTCTCACGCATCTCAAAATCATTAAATATTAACAGAGGCTGAAAGCTGTAGTTGACAATTATGGAACCACTAACACTAAGCTAAGCTGGTTCATGTGTGTTGTAAAACGGTATATATATATATATATATATATATATATATATATATATATATATATATATATATATATATATATATATATACATTCTTGTATGTATTTGTATTTAATGCACTAGAAATTATAATTGTAAATTGTTGTCAATTTTGAATTCTTTCATTAGACAGCCGAGTTAGACATCAATTTGGTATTCAGCAAAAACCTTTCTTTTTAACTTGATGTGAACTCACTGTGTTAAGGCATCCGTCGATTTGGTTTTCGTTTCTTATTTATTTATTTTTTTTTTCTTTTAAATCCCGAACGGAAATTCCTGGCTTGGATGGATGCTGGTTAAGGCGATTTAATAAACAGATTATTTGAAAAAAGTCAAAGGGAAACAAACAAAAATGTATTAAAACTTCTGCTGAAGTTAGTGATTGTCTCCCATTCTGTCATGTTTATCTTCATTTTCCTTATTTACTCTCACAAATAACAATTATTATTAATTATTTAACGCTGCATTTGCGTGGAGAATAGACGGAGCTTGAAGATGATTCAGATAATAATAAAAACAATGAGGAAAATGATACAACGAAGGTAAGCTTTTTATTTCTATTTTTTGACCAGCTATTTTGTTTTCTCCCTAATGCCTTCATACGGTAGGTTGTCGCAGCCGTTGCCATGACAACAAATGGTTTATTATAACCAGCCTGAGGTACTGCGTTAATTTTGTTGTTTTTTTCCTCCTCCCCTCCCCCTCTCGCGCCCATATCCCCAGGTGCCACGCCCTAAAGAGCCACCTACGCCAGACTACAACACCACACAGATGCACATCCCAGACTCACAGAACGGGGAGACGAAGATACAGCTTGGGGAACTGAAGGGGAGCAGGGAGGACCTCAGAGATGTGAGTAGGTTGTTGTGTGGGGGGGGGTAGGGAGGACTTTAGAGATGTGAGTAGGTTGTGTTGGGGGGAGGGAGCAGGGAGGACCTTAGAGATGTGAGTAGGTTGTTGTGGTGGGGGGAGTAGGGAGGACCTTAGAGATGTGAGTAGGTTGTTGTGGTGGGGGGAGCAGGGAGGACCTTAGAGATGTGAGTAGGTTGTTGTGTGGGGGGGGGAGCAGGGAGGACCGTAGAGATGTGAGTAGGTTGTTGTGGTGGGGGGAGGGGGAGCAGGGAGGACCTTACAGATGTGAGTAGGTTGTTGTGGTGGGGGGAGTAGGGAGGACCTTAGAGATGTGAGTAGGTTGTTGTGGTGGGGGGAGTAGGGAGGACCTTAGAGATGTGAGTAGGTTGTTGTGTGGGGGGAGTAGGGAGGACCTTAGAGATGTGAGTAGGCTGTTTTGTTGTGGTGGGGGGTGGGGAGTAGGGATGACCTTAGAGATGTGAGTAGGTTGTTGTGTGGGGGGAGGGGGAGGACCTTAGAGATGTGAGTAGGCTGTTTTGTTGTGGTGGGGGGAGGGGAGCAGGGAGGACCTTAGAGATGTGAGTAGGTTGTTGTGGTGGGGGGAGGGGGAGCAGGGAGGACCTTAGAGATGTGAGTAGGCTGTTGTGTGGGGGGAGCAGGGAGGACCTTAGAGATGTGAGTGGGCTTTTTTGTTGTGGTGGGGGGGAGGGGAGCAGGGAGGACTTTAGAGATGTGAGTAGGTTGTTGTGGTGGGGGGAGGGGAGCAGGGAGGACCTTAGAGATGTGAGTAGGCTGTTGTGTGGGGGGAGCAGGGAGGACCTTAGAGATGTGAGTAGGTTGTTGTGGTGGGGGGAGGGGGAGCAGGGAGGACCTTAGAGATGTGAGTGGGTTGTTGTGGTGGCGGGAGGGGGAGCAGGGAGGACCTTAGAGATGTGAGTAAGTTGTTGTGGTGGGGGGAGCAGGGAGGACCTTAGAGATGTGAGTAGGTTGTTGTGGTGGGGGGTGGGGAGTAGGGAGGACCTCAGAGATGTGAGTAGGTTGTTGTGGTGGGGGGAGCAGGGAGGACCTTAGAGATGTGAGTGGGCTGTTGTGGTGGGGGAGGGGAGCAGGGAGGACCTTAGAGATGTGAGTAGGTTGTTGTGGTGGGGGGAGGGGAGCAGGGAGGACCTTAGAGATGTGAGTAGGTTGTTGTGTGGGGGGAGCAGGGAGGACCTTAGAGATGTGAGTAGGTTGTTGTGGTGGGGGGTGGGGAGTAGGGAGGATCTCAGAGATGTGAGTAGGTTGTTGTGTGGGGGAGGGGAGCAGGGAGGACCTTAGAGATGTGAGTAGGTTGTTGTGGTGGGGGGGAGCAGGGAGGACCTTAGAGATGTGAGTGGGCTGTTGTGGTGGGGGAGGGGAGCAGGGAGGACCTTAGAGATGTGAGTAGGTTGTTGTGTGGGGGGGGGAGCAGGGAGGACCGTAGAGATGTGAGTAGGTTGTTGTGGTGGGGGGAGGGGGAGCAGGGAGGACCTTACAGATGTGAGTAGGTTGTTGTGGTGGGGGGAGTAGGGAGGACCTTAGAGATGTGAGTAGGTTGTTGTGGTGGGGGGGGGGAGCAGGGAGGACCTTAGAGATGTGAGTGGGCTGTTGTGGTGGGGGAGGGGAGCAGGGAGGACCTTAGAGATGTGAGTAGGTTGTTGTGGTGGGGGGAGGGGAGCAGGGAGGACCTTAGAGATGTGAGTAGGTTGTTGTGTGGGGGGAGCAGGGAGGACCTTAGAGATGTGAGTAGGTTGTTGTGTGGGGGGAGCAGGGAGGACCTTAGAGATGTGAGTGGGCTGTTGTGGTGGGGGAGGGGAGTAGGGAGGATCTCAGAGATGTGAGTGGGTTGTTGTGGTGGGGGGGGGGAGCAGGGAGGATCTCAGAGATGTGAGTGGGTTGTTGTGGTGGGGGGGGGGGAGCAGGGAGGATCTCAGAGATGTGAGTGGGTTGTTGTGGTGGGGGGGAGGGGAGCAGGGAGGACCTTAGAGATGTGAGTGGGCTGTTGGGGGGTGGGGGTTAGATTTAGGAAGTCATGAGAGCTGGGTGGGTATGAGACAGTGGATCAGTATAGCACTGGATGGGGTTTTGGGGGTGGAATTGCGTGGGGATGGGGGTAGATAGCAGAATGTAAGATTTGTTTTTATTATGACGATATGAATAGATGGTTCTATGCTGGTATGAATAGGTGGCTCTATGATGGTAGGATGGGGTAGTTCTATGATGGTATGCTGGGGTATTTCTATGATGATATGAGTAGATGGCTCTATGATAGTAGGATGGCATTGTGTCATGGTGGTGTGGGGCCAAAAAGGGATGATGCTTTAATGGTATTAATGGGTGGTCTATGGTGGTATGATGGGGTGGTGCCAAGATGAGGTAGTGGTATGATGTGGCAATATTATGATGGTAGGGCCATAATGTTGTGATGGTCTAGTTCCATGAAGTTATATAAGTGACCTGTCTTAATGACGGCCATACTAAACCTCATGCCACCTGTCTCCCCAACTCCCCAGTACCGGACCAACAACGCCTCGTGGGCGGGCTATCAAGACCAGCCTGTCCTGCGTGGGCCCCCCATCACAGACAGACCTGGCAACGCCACTGACCGCAGCTACAGGTGAGTCTGGCTCTGTATGACCCTGGAAGATGCACGTGAACAGAGTACTCACGTTTTAACTCTTTACACACCGGTACCATTGTCTGGTTAAATAGAATGTGAATTTTAATTGCTACTCATTTAAGTATTATAAGTAGGACCATTCATGTTAACACCAAAAAAAAAAAAATTTAAAAGTCACAAAATATATTTGGTTAAATAAAATATTAATTTCAATTGCGACTCATTTACCTATTATGAATACTCATATTTAGAAATAATTCTTTTAAAAGTAAGCAAAAAATATGTGTATCAGACGAAGTCCGAAAACAATTCAATTGTAGTTGCGCCTGGTAGACTTAGAGAAATAAAGTGTGAAAAATACTGAATAAACCGGGAGCGATCTCCACTAAACTTTCTCGAATATTCTTTTATAAAAAAAACAGGGGATTTGAACTCGGGATATAGACATGAATTTTAATCATTTTTAAATACTTAAAATTTTTAAAATAGAATAAAATCTCGTAGAAAAAAGAATTGTACACATGTGAACGCCAAATAAAACGTGCATAATAGTGCGGAATATTATTAGTACTTTATAAATTTACATTCGTTTTTTGAGAAATCGAAAATAGCGTAAATTAGTACTTTCAATCAACGGAAATTACTCAAAATTTCACAGAAGGTATAGAATTAGATATTTTACTTACATGTGAAATTTCATTTATCTATCTCAGGGGTCTCCAAACTTTTCAGCCAGGGGGCCGCATTAACAATCAAATATCAGTTCGGGGGCCAGAATTTCTTCCATGCATCTCTTTGGGGTGGCGGAGTCCCCCCGCACCACCCCCCAACGAAATATAATTTATATAGAAATATATATATACATTTTAACTGCCCCCCCCCCCCCACCCCCCCCCCCTTAGGAGAAAGTCTAAAAGAAACACTGTCCGGCCGACAACACACTCGAGGTCCAAGTTTGTTCTCCTTAGGCAAACACAAAAACCCACCCGCCATTTTTTAAATTGTCTCTAAAGAGGTCATTTGCTTGCAATTCAATGACCTCCATCTGCAGTTCATCTGGGCAACTGGTTACATTTGCTTCAATTCGGGTTTGAAACAGTCTCACTCTTTCTGCCTTTGAATCCTCGTCAAAAAACGCTACTGAAACTGCAACTGGACGTCTTTGATGATCTCGCATGCAAATGGTGTGGGGAACTCAGCTTTTTCTTCAGTCATGAAGACATTGCACTGCTGAAAGTGCGTCAAGTTGTTGCCCTGTACTTGTTCCAAAAACATGGAACAGCTGTCCAGTGACTCATCCATTGCAATTGAATAATTGCGAAACTTGTTAGCAGTTTTCGCTATTTGAGTCATAATGTTTTCAAGAATGTCTGCAACACGGAGGGCAATGGTATTTGCAACCAAAGTTACATATTCAAATTGTTTTAAATTTTCTGGGCAAAGTTCCTCAGCCACCTCTAACAAACATTTTTTTTCCGTGAACAAAAATCTCCGCGGTCCGGACGAAAGGACCTCGCGGGCCGCATCCGGCCCGCGGGCCGTAGTTTGGAGACCCCTGATCTATCTGAAATAGTACTCAAGTTATAGGCTTTTGGAAAATTCAAAGTAGAAAAAGTACCACTTCCGGTTATTGAAAATCGCTCAAAAGTTGATCAGCATCTCTGATTTTGATAAAATACTTACATATGAAATTTCATCAACCTAGCTGTAACGGCACTCAAGTTATCGTGTTTACACACAGACACACATACACAGACATACGGAAAAAAAGGGAAAATTCCAGTTTTTACGACTCGATAACGCATAAAACGCCAAAATGTTTATATATATTTGTATTTATAATTTTTGCCTGATTAAAATAAGTCCTCTATACTCCGGATGTGATGAAGGACTGAGGAGTAAAACTGTGAAAACTGTTAAAATTTCATGTTATTTTTGTGCACGATTACAATACTTTCTCTATACTTCGTATATACGAGAAAGTAAAAATGTAGATTTAGCCGTGTTGGTTTCTGGTAGTATTTTATATCTTTGTTTTGTTACTGTGTGCCTTAATTGCCGTCAATCAAATTTTAACACGTAAAAGAAATATCAATATTATAAGTTTTATACTTGATATCAAATCAACATCTTTTAAAAACTTTGTTCTAGAGCTAACCCATGGACACAGAGGGACAAGGGTCGCGGTGATTTGAACGACCCCCGTGTTGGGGGTGCTCATGACGGGATTGGACTCATTGGAAGCCGGGTAGGTTGTAATAAATATGGAAGGGGAAATGTGTTTGAAATTATAAATGTTGAATGTTTCAATTCGTATTAAGACGTGCTTGTTTTTGGAATGGGTATTTTCCTGTAGTGAGGTACAAAGATGCCCTCATAGCTCTATGTGAAGCTTATTGATGCTTGTATCTACTACATTAAAATTAATGCCCGGTTCTAGTCTCTACTTAAACCTAACATAGATCTAAGCCTACACTATCCTAACTTTATTGCTGAGAATTGCCTCAAAAAGTTCCATAACTTGAGTGCATATTTGTGTCACTACTGTATAACCACTTGTTTAAATTATGGGAGCATTTATTTTCTCGTTGTTCTTTAATCTGACCTTTTTCCTCACGTTTTGCGATTTAGTTTTCCTAATGTCTAATCACGTTTTATGAACCCCTGTTTGATTATATTTGTTCATGTCTTATAACCCCTCTTTACTGACATTTGTTTATGTTTTATGAACCCATATTTGCCATCGTTTGTTCATGTTTTACGAACCATTATATGCTGATGTTTGTTCATATCTTATAAACCCTATTTGCTAATGGATGTTAATGTCTTATGAACCCTTAATTGCCATCGTTTGTTGATGTATCAGAACGGCGGGGCCCTGCTGTTTATCCGTTTCCCCATCGGTCAAGGTGAGAACGTACAGGTGGCCGCCCACGCCTTCCTCAAGTCTAAGACCCACGACAACGGTGGCCGCTTCCTGGGACTTGCTAAGAAGGTATGTGGAGACTGCTGGAGACTGCTATACAATAAACACAGTGGCTTTATATTTAAAAACTGCTAGCGCTTATAACAGAGTAAAATCATTGAGGTATAGTACTAACTAGAATATACAATGCAATTTTAAAATAATTGAGATACTTAGATGAGTACCTGACCAGTAGCGTAGCGGAGGGGGGGGGGGCGGGGGGACATATGTCCCCGGGCGCCGACCTTAGGGGGCGCCTAAATGGGTTGGAAAAATAAATTGAAAGGTTGAGGAGGGTGAAAATCGAAAGTTTGAGGGGGGGGGGGTGCAAATCGAAATCTTGAGGGGGGGGGGGTGCAAATCGAAAAAATTGTCCCTGGCGACGGGAAGGGTCGCTACGCCTCTGTACCTGACATACGAAAATAAAACTGGCTGGGTAAAGTGCTGACCACATCACCATTTAAATGCTGAGATCAAGAAACAAACTAACTCAATGGATCGCTAGGTCTAAAGAGTAACAAAACTTTATGAAACATCAGAAATGTGTATGCCGTTGTTTTTTATTTTATGATTAAAAAATTTGTAATTTTATTGTTTTGAGGCATCATTGTCTTGGTGCTGTTGTCTTACATTTAAATTTTCATCACCATTTTTGTTGTTGCAGACGTTCGATTTCGGCTACGAGAAGAGACCGACAGAGGCGATAGGAGTCTTCCACTTCCCATCCATGGATAAGGCCTTGCTGTTTTTCCAGATGGATACCATTATCCGCCAGCCTGACTTCCCACCCCCTTACGGGCACGCAGAGATGTGGATAGTTTCTAACGCCTACCTCCCGGATAACTTGAATTGTTGGTTCCTAACTTTTCTTAATTATTTTTTTAGGGCTAGAGTTATGGAACTTTGTTCTTGCTAGAGTTATGGTACTTTTCTAGTACTAGAGTTATGAACTAGTGCTGATTTATTTGAAATTTGTCAATGTAAGAGTATCTGTAGTAATGGGACTTATGAGACTTATTCTACGGATGTTGATGTTTTCAATGCTATAGTTATGGAACTTCGTTTTTTCTTCAAGAGTTTCTAGAAATTTTCTACTACTAGAGTTTTGAAACTTCAGTGTTTCTAGAGTGATTTGGAATTTGTTAATGTGTCCGCCTATAAATGTTTGACAGTGAGGAAAACTATATTGTGTGTAGTCCCTGTGTTTACTAGTTACATACAAGCGTTGGAATTGTTTTATATGTTACAAGCAGTTGTTGTAGTGTCGTGATTAGCTGTATATAACGGTATGCTGTGTCGTTCTTGACTGTGGTGAGTAGATGACTGGTATTAGAATTTCAACTTTTGACCTGTAACCTATTAATAACCATGTACCCCCCCTCCCCAGTGTTCAACACATTCCTCCTCTCAGAGGTCGAGCTCCACAACGGTAAAGATAAAAGGGAATTTTTCGAAACGTTCCAAGTGAGTAACAACATACATTTAAAGTATTGAAAATTTGTACTAAAGCTTTTTATTCAATTCTTTCTTACGCGGTCGGTTTACTTCTCTGAAACTTTCTATATCTCGACTGCTACGAGCACTGTCCAACAATGGACTGATCAAATAAGTTGGGGCGGGGTTGGGGATAAAATATGCTAGAATTGCTTAACAATATATTTAAGTTAATCTTATTTTACCTCTAACAACCTACCAAGCCCTATTGTAAGAAATATGTTGCCTTAAACTGAAATTAGAAAGCACTCCGCAATACATGGGAGGTAATCCATTTTAATAATTTATTTTAAAAATGTGTTGTAATCTGTTTGTCAGAAACCCTTCGAGAGCTACCTGTACAAAAATGGCGCCATGCCATTTGTCGTCTGCTCCTACGGCAGCTACGACAGGAAAAGCTTGAGGAGACACACCTACCCCCCAAACTCGATAGTGACCTGTCACCTCTTCCAGGGCCTGGATCACCTCAACTGGATCACCAATGACGGTGAGTCACGTGACTGGGTGCTACAGTGACCTGAAAGTCACTAGGGCAGATGAAGTAGTGCTATATGTTATACACACAGTCTGTGAGCTTGTGTTTCGCAAAAACCTACTCCAAGTTCCATGAACCATCCCTACACTTATGTTCCCCAGAAAACTTCTCCATGTTCCCTTAACTATCCTTACTCCTAAGTTGCACAGAAACCTACTCCAAGTTCGCTTAACCATCCCTACACTTATGTTCCCCGAAAACTTACTCCAAGTTCCCTTAACCATTACTACACTTATATTCCCCAGAAACCTACTTCAAGTTCCCTTAACCATCCCTACCCTTATGTTCCCTATAAACCTACTCCAAGTTCCCTTAACCGTCCTACACCTATGTTCCCCAGAAACCTACTCCAAGTTCCCTTAACCATCCCTACACTTATCTTCCCAAGAAACCTACGCCAAGTATCTAAACTATACCTACGCTTATGTTCCCCAGAAGCCTACTCAAAGTTCCCTTAACCTCTCCCTACACTTATGTTCCCCAGAAACCTACTCCACGTTCCCTCAACCATCCCTACACTTATGCCCCAGAAACCTACTCCAAAATCCCTTAACAATCTATATTCTTGTTCCCCATAAACCTACTCCAAGTTCCCTTAACAATCTATATTCTTGTTCCCCAGAAACCTACTCCAAGTTCCCTTAACAATCTATATTCTTAACCATTACTACACTTATATTCCCCAGAAACCTACTTCAAGTTCCCTTAACCATCCCTACCCTTATGTTCCCTATAAACCTACTCCAAGTTCCCTTAACCGTCCTACACCTATGTTCCCCAGAAACCTACTCCAAGTTCCCTTAACCATCCCTACACTTATCTTCCCAAGAAACCTACGCCAAGTATCTAAACTATACCTACGCTTATGTTCCCCAGAAGCCTACTCAAAGTTCCCTTAACCTCTCCCTACACTTATGTTCCCCAGAAACCTACTCCACGTTCCCTCAACCATCCCTACACTTATGCCCCAGAAACCTACTCCAAAATCCCTTAACAATCTATATTCTTGTTCCCCATAAACCTACTCCAAGTTCCCTTAACAATCTATATTCTTGTTCCCCAGAAACCTACTCCAAGTTCCCTTAACAATCTATATTCTTATTTCCCAGAAACCTACTTCAAGTTCCTTTAACCATTCCTACACTTATGTTCCCCCAGAAACCTACTCCAAGTTCCCTTAACAATCTATATTCTTGTTCCCCAGAAACCTACTCCAAGTTCCGCAGCCTCCACAATCAAATGGCCACAGAGAAATGCTCCATCTTCACCCTCTCCAAGGACGTCGCCCTCTAGCGACAACGCTATTTTTAGATCAAATGTCAAGGACGTCGCCCTCTAGCGACAACGCTATTTTTAGATCAAATGTCAAGGACGTCGCCCTCTAGCGACAACACTATTTTTAGATCAAATGTCAAGACCGTCTGTAACAGTTTTTAAAGTGATTAGCGCGCTCGAGTCTTAAGTTTGGGCTGTGTAAATATAATAGAAAAGGATATTTATATTGAAGAGAATCTAAAAATATGAACTTTGTCCACTGCAAAACAAGACAAAATTATCTGCTTAGCTGTGTCTTCCCACCACTGTGTACCTAACCACGCCATGCCATAAATATTTCTTATCTTTCCTAAGTTTCATTGTACCTGTGAAGTTAAATCATCATCGTGCAACTTCAATTTTTATTTCCTACGTAAATTAACAAGTGACTTTACTGCAATAGTTTCATATAATACAACCTTATCTAAAGAAAAAAAAACGTCACTTGTCTAACGTACAAGTACTGACATGAAGAATTTGGTTGTTTTTTTTAAATTATCTTTGACCTCGATTTTTCAACAGACGTCAAAGAGAACTATTTTAGCAATGATAATAGTACATAGCTAATGATCAATTCAACATTTTAAAAATATATGTAATTATTACAAAAGTTTTAGTTTCTTTGGAATGTTTGGTTAGGTTTTATTGGATACATACGTCTCATCAATGTTTGTCTTACACTGATTTAAACTGTAGCAAGCGGTACTTTACAACATCATGGTTAATGATAATATGAGGTGTAGGGGGAGCTTACTCTGAACAGATAAAATCCAACACAAAAGTAAAATATTCACGTCATTTTCACATTCCCACTGTGTTGTTAATGTTCAAGGTTTTTTTTATATAATTCTAGCGTGTAGATGTCGATCACTGTTTTTTAAGTCTTTTATACTTTAAAAATTTATGTATTTTGGTATTGCACAACTTAAATTTATTTTCATAATCAATTGTTTTTAAAAATAATAAATCTTTGGTAATACGTGGGTTGTTTTTATTATTGAATTTCGTCGACATGTTTTCTATAATTTAAAGAACTGTGATAATGTAAATTATTTAATTATATCCATATACTTGTGTAAAAAAAATAATTAAATAGCGTCGACGTATTTTATGCAAGGTAAAGCAATGTGATATTGTAAAATTATTTAATTATAATCATATTCTTATGATAAAAAAACATAATGTATAGAACATTTGTTATTTAAAGAATTTAATAAAACGCATATTTATTCTCAACGAAAGTGTCATTTATAGTTGTATTTATGCAAGTGTTTATTTAGCTTGGCTTTGTGCAGTTGATTGGTGCTATCCCTCTTTGATTTTCGCGAGTTACCTATATAGAATGTCGATATTTACTGGCCATAAAATCATACTCGGTGGTGTAGTTAAGATAGTCAGTCTGGACACGAACCCAAACCTTATACCCATTAAACAATACGTTTACAACAAGGAGATTTATATATATATATATATATATATATATATATATATATATATATATATATATATATATATATATAGTCTTTTCTATGCATGAACTTTGTGTTGTAGTGTTTAAAGATATGTCTTACGGGTAGCCTAGTGAAAAGTATCACAATTTTTGTTTGCTAAGTAAAGGGAACTATTTCTGAAAAAAACGATTCTACAGTTGAAGCTTTATTATTTTAATTTTCATTAGTAAAAATTTGAAAACAACATTTTAAAATCATGGATTAGATTTCGTCAATCTTTAAAATACTTTCTTTTTATTATGGGATGGCTAGCTCGAATGATAGAACAAACTCACGTTAGGAAAAGTAAAGGCGGCTGGGGCACTATCCCTTTATATGTCTAGATCTACTCTACTCCAAATGAACTTTTGTTTTTATTATAATAATGGAAGATCCGCTCTTCAGGTGGGAAAAAAAATGCCTAAACTGTACACCACGAGATTAACAGGGGGTTAGTGTCGGAGGGTGGGGGTTGTGATTGAGGTCTAGTACAGACGTCTAGAGGACAGCCAACCTTGACAAAGACGCTCTAACTGTAACGACAAGGCGGACAAAGTTCAAAACCATCAATCTTTGATAAGTTAAACCGTGTGAGACGGAAAGTCAACCAAAGTTCTTGGCACATCGATAAAACAAAAGACAGCGACGAAACAGCAGTGACGAAAAGGAAAAGACATACTGGCATAGGATTGATCGTTGTGTTTGTTGAGTACTAGACCCACAGGCAACAGGTAATATTTGCTTTTTTTTTAATTAAGTGAACATCATCATGTTCACAAAGAGTGAAGTTGTTTTTTTTCAAAAGTGGTATTCAAACAGAGTTTTTTTTCCAGGCAACCCCCCCCCCCCCCCCGAACGAAATGAAATTTATATAATTTATATAGAAAATATATACTTTTAACAGTGTCCGCCCCCCCCCCCCCCCCGAAAATTTCAAGTGCCCCCCCCCCCCCCCCGGAGAAAAAAGTCTGGAAGAAACACTGTATTCAAAGTGACGTGTTGAATATGGCGTTGAAGTGGTTTACTAACATGAGAGATTCACTGGACAGTGATGTTGTTCGCGGGTGTTATAATCTTATAAAGATTTCTGATGAAGTAAAAAGGTAATCTGTAATGCTGTACTTAAAAATTAGACAACAATGGTGTTATCTGATAATTCACTGTTAGGTTGGACTGAGGAGTTGGTCTTTTATACCTCATTCGGGTGTTTAGTATGTATGCCATATTGTAGCACCAGATTAAATTCTCACATAGCGATGCAAAATTGCGCATTCCAACATGGATATATCACAAGCACGACTTACATATATCACATACATGTGTCACATACAGTTGTACAGGTAACACATACAGATATCAAGTCGATTTAATACATACTTGTACGACATACAAATACCACATACAACTACCACAAACATGTACTAAATACAGGTTTCCCATACAACTACCACGCATACAGATACCAAGTACAGTTACTACATACTTGTGCGAAATAAAATAATACATACGAATACCATATAAACCTAACACGTATATGGGCCCCATACAGGTACCACATACAAATACCACATACCTGCACCACATACAGTTACCACATACAACTGCATACACTAGTCTGCACACACTAACACCACTAGTGTCGCTATGTAGGACACCATGTCCCACACTACACATACAACAGTATGTACACTTACTCTCTAGAGTTAAACATAAACCAGTCGCTTAAATTATGGAATGTTGACATTAGCGGTTCTGTTTATGATCTGGCGAAAGAGCGTATTCTACACTGAACCTGATTGTTATTAATTATTCTACAGAATGACTAGGACATTTTTTTTAGCTAATCCCTAACCTAACCTAACCTAACCTAACCTAACCTAACCTAATCTAAACCCTAACCCTAACCCTAATCTTAATCCTAACACTAAATCTAACACTAACCCCAACCCTAGTGCTAAGACTAACACTAAACCTAATCCTAGAAAGATAAGGAAATGTGTGAAATATTGATACTTTTATATATATATATATATATATATATATATATATATATATATATATATATATATATATATATATATATATATACTCATTGTAATAATGTTACCGTAATTCTGTCATATGTAGAATTTGAAGCTAAGAAATACTTTATTTTTCATTAAAGTTTAAAATGTGCTAGTTACTTCCCATTTCAAAATACAAATGTCACTACGGGAAACAACTATTACAATATTCAAAACATGTATTACAAATACAGAGAAATTCAGTAAGAATAAAATAAAAGATTTGATTATTGTTTGTTTTAAAATTAATTAAGGAAATTTAGTTTGCTGTGCAGTTTGTTTAAAATTTTTAAAATTTTAAAGATTTTAGAATTGTTTTATTGGCACTCGATGTAATAGAAAACATTAGCTATTTTAAATACATAATTTATTAGCATCGGAAAATATTTAATTTTAATCAATAAGCTGCAGACATCTTTCGTTATTGACGTACAATCCTTAATAAAACTTACACACCTGTTTGTGGTACATGCCTCAGAAAGCTGATCGACCTTCACACATGGACAAAGCAATCCAGAACTCCTCTGGAGCACCAAGCTCGGATCTAATTACTATCCCCATTCTTTTCCCGTAGACCACAATTCAAGTCTTCTGAAACACGGCTGAACATGATACTTCACATGGACCAACCCTCAAGGACCAACCCTCATGGACCAACCCACATGGATCAACCCACATGGACCAACCCTCATTGACCAATCCACATGGACCAAATCTCAAGGACCAACCCCATGGACCAACCCTCAAGGAACAACCCACATGGACCAACCCACATGGAACAACCCTCATGGACCAACCCACATGGAACAACCCACAAGGACCAACCCTCATTGACCAACCAACAAGGACCAATCCACATGGACCAACCCTCAAGGACCAACCCACATGGACCAACCCTCAAGGACCAACCCACATGGACCAACCCTCAAGGAACAACCCTCAAGGAACAACCCTCAAGGAACAACCCACATGGACCAACCCTCAAGAAACAACCCACAAGGAACAACCCACATGGAACAACCCACAAGGACCAACCCTAGATGTACACTCACACATCACACCATATACGTGTATAAACCTCTTTGAAAATGTGATAAGACTTGATATCTCTGTAGAAATTATACTTATACACACCTTTTTGGACAACTTTAGAAATGTGACACTCCGCACTGGAAATGTGAAAAGAATTTTGTGTCATCCTACAATCCAATTTTATAATGAAACAATTGCATTAGATATTAAAAACACACATCAGGTAAAATAAAACTCCCCAGATGTGCTCATTAAAAAAAAAAAAAAAAAAAAAAAAAAAAAAAAAAAAATCCTTAATTTACTTCAACACTACTCAAAAGGCCTAAACCAGGGGTCGGCAACATGCGGCTCGCGAGCCGCATGCGGCTCTTTGATTTCAAGATGCGGATCTCCAGCTCCTTGAACAAATACTAATAATCGTAATAAAAAAATAAAATAATTGAAATAAAAAATATGTTAGTGGCTCTTTAAAACCAGGGAAATTTTGAAAATGTAACTTTTGGCTCTTCCGCTTCAAAAGGTTGCCGACCCCTGGCCTAAACCCACCCTTCCCTCCCCAGCCCAGTGAGCCCACCACGCCGATGGGGAAAAATAATGCTTTGAATCATCATTTTATTAAACATTTGCATTGTCAGGGTTTTTTTTTAAATTAAAATTTTAATTAGACGTTTTGTTTAGACTACGTATAAGTAAACCATCTTAAATGAATGAAAATAGGCTGCAAGTAAGAAAGAAGTATTACTATTGTAAATCTGTATTATTTCGCACACGCCGATGATGAAAACTGTAATACTATAGCAGCATGCAAGGCAAACTGACGCTGCAAATAGCATGTCTGAGGCAAAAATAAAACTTTTCTCATCACAAACTGCAGAGAAGAAATGCTGGACGTTCTTGTCTATTGAGAAATTCAACTCGACAATTTAGCCTTTATTCATCATTAACATCATTGATAGTTCAGCACTTAGATAAATTTCCTTCCTTCACGTATAATTAACTTTTTCTGATTGAATTCATCAACTACCGTGTTTCTAGGGCCTAAAATAGCACGGTTTGAATAACGTCCAATATTCATCAGGTTAATCTATCTCAAAGATTTATTTGGTAAGAAAAAATTAATTTCGTATTTTGAGGTATATTGAAATGTTTTTTAAATAAACATTTTAATCTGCAGAACATAGAAGTAAAATGGTCGAGAAACTGTTTGGACATTGGAAACTTCAACAAAATGAAAACTTCAACGAGTACATGAAGGCCAATAGTAAGCCATAGATTAAGATAAAACAAATACTCATAGTAATTCGTGATCTACGTGTGTTTATCAGAGTTTCTTCCAGGCATCTCTTCGGGGGGGGGGGGGGGGGGGGGGGGGGGAGGGGGCGCTTTGCCCCCCCCCCCCCCTTACCCCCCTTCCCCCCATTCCCCCCCCCTTCCCCCCCCCCCCCCCCCGAAATTTTTTTACCGCAACGAAATGAAATTTCTAAAATTTATATAGAAAATATATACTTTTAACAGTGTCCGCCCCCCCCCCCCCAGAAAGTCTACCGCCCTCAGACCCCCCCCCCCCGAAATTTCAAGTGCCCCCCGGAGAAAAAAGTCTGGAAGAAACACTGGTGTTTATCATAGTATTTTTCCTCTTTTGAATGAAAGAATATATATAATCCATTGCTTTGAAATCTAAATACTTAAAACAAAACCATCAAAGTTTTTGAGACTTTGCAGAAACTTTGTGTCTCTCGATATGAAGCCATAAGTTATATAGAAAACACATTCATTCACTTTAATCCTAAATTTGGTTAATTTTAGATGGGACGGCGTGGCCTAAGCGGTAGAGCGCTAGGCTGCTAACCCGATAGTCGTATCCGGGTCCATGTTAGTAGAATGTCCCTGAGTCCACCCAGATCTATCGGGTACCAACTTGTGTTTTGGAAAGTAAAGGCAACTGGGCAAAGGGCTGACCACACCTTCCTTTCATAATCTTAGGTCAAGAAAGATATGTACAATGGATAGCCAGCTCTAAAGAGGATTATACACTTTTTAAATTTATTGTAATTAGCATTAACTGAGATAAGCTGATAATTCAATGTACGCATTAACAGATATAAGTAGATAATTCTATGTACCAAAAAACTTGCAGACGTCAACGTGGCCTTGCGTGCAGTGGGCAAATCCATCACAAGCTACGAGGAGATCAAGCGAGACGGTGACCACTGGACCATCCACATCACATCCACCTTCAAGAACCAGAAAATCGAATTCCAGCTCGGTCAGCCCTTCACAGAGCACACACTAGACGGCCGGGATATGACCGTGAGTACACACAATCATAGAACACACACTAGACGGCCGGGATATGACCGTGAGTACACACAATCATAGAACACACACTAGACGGCCGGGATATGACGGTGAGTACATACAATCATAGAACACACGTTTCGAGGCCGGGATATGACCGTGAGTACACACAATCATACAACACACACTAGACGGCCGGGATATGACCGTGGGTACACACAATCATAGAACACACACTAGACAGCCGGGATATGACGGTGAGTACATACAATCATAGAACACACGTTTCGAGGCCGGGATATGACCGTGAGTACACACAATCATAGAACACACACTAGACGGCCGGGATATGACCGTGAGTACACACAATCATAGAACACACACTAGACGGCCGGGATATGACCGTGAGTACACACAATCATAGAACACACACTAGACGGCCGGGATATGACCGTGAGTACACACAATCATAAAACACACACTAGACGGCCGGGATATGACCGTGAGTACACACAATCATAGAACACACACTAGACGGCCGGGATATGACCGTGAGTACACACAATGATAGAACACACACTAGACAGCCGGGATATGACCGTGAGTACACACAATCATAGAACACACACTAGACGGACGGGATATGACCGTGAGTACACACAATCATAGAACACACACTAGACGGCCGGGATATGACCGTGAGTACACACAATCATAGAACACACACTAGACGGCCGGGATATGACCGTGAGTACACACAATCATAGAACACACACTAGACGGCCGGGATATGACCGTGAGTACACACACGTTGGACGGCCGGGATTTGACCGTGAGTACAAACAATCATAGAATACACTAGACGGCCGGGATATGATCGTGAGTACACACACGTTGGACGGCCGGGATTTGACCGTGACTACACACAATCATAGAACACACACTAGACAGCCGGGATATGACCGTGAGTACACACAATCATAGAACACACACTAGACGGCCGGGATATGACCGTGAGTACACACAATCATAGAACACACACTAGACGGCCGGGATATGACCGTGAGTACACACAATCATAGAACACACACTAGACGGCCGGGATATGACCGTGAGTACACACAATCATAGAACACACACTAGACGGCCGGGATATGACCGTGAGTACACACAATGATAGAACACACACTAGACGGCCGGGATATGACCGTGAGTACACACAATCATAGAACACACACTAGACGGCCGGGATATGACCGTGAGTACACACAATCATAGAACACACACTAGACGGCCGGGATATGACCGTGAGTACACACAATCATAGAACACACACTAGACGGCCGGGATATGACCGTGAGTACACACACGTTGGACGGCCGGGATTTGACCGTGAGTACAAACAATCATAGAATACACTAGACGGCCGGGATATGATCGTGAGTACACACACGTTGGACGGCCGGGATTTGACCGTGACTACACACAATCATAGAACACACACTAGACGGCCGGGATATGAACGTTAGTACATACAATGACAGAACACATACTAAACGGCCAGGATATGACCGTGAATACACATAATCACCGAACACATACTAGACCGTGAGTACACAATTATAGAACACACACACTGGAACCCCGATTCACCTTTCTTGTTCTTCTTCGTTCTTAATTTTAGTGTTGGAAGGGATCCCCTCCAACACAATTGAGTATACGTGTCAACTGGTTATGCGCCATTGAAGCTTTGCTTTCATATCCTTTGTCCAACCAAGAACAAACTACAATTCAGCAGTTGTTTGATTTTGGAGTTGTCTCTCCTAGAAGAGTTTCTGTCTCCTGCTAACGAGCCTCATCTTGAACTCGAGACTTCGGTTTAGCAACAATGAGCTTTACCGATTCGACCAAGAAAAATCCCGATTCTCGAACTAGAGACTTTTGGATGAGCAATCTAATGCTCTACCGCTAGGCCACGCCGTCCCAAATTTAATTATCGGCTGAATGCAATTTGACTTCCACCAGTGCTTGTTACGATGATTTTTGTATGACTTTCAAACACCATCTAAGTTTTAGTCTTATTATATGTTGTTTCAGTCCACTTTCAGCATAGAGGGAGATAAGTTAGTTTGTATACAAGAGCCTATCAACAAGAGTGATATCCCTTCACGGTTTGAACGGGAAGTCCTAGATGACGGAAGGATGTTGCTGGTAATGGTTTCATTATTTTTTCCCACGTTTTCTTTAACTTGCTTTCTCTGTTTGTTTTTTTGTTTGTTTGTTTTTCCAATCAAATCTTGCGATCGAAATTTCTGGCACTTCCCAGTTAGCTAGCGCGCTGAAATTTTCAGGGAAGCTTTCTTTTGGATGACCATAGAATATTCAATTGTTATTATTACGAAATTGATCAATGGAAACATTTTATTGAGCATTTTAGACCGCTATATAATCTATATATATATAATTCTCCTCTGCGAGCCATTAGAAAAAAAACGAGCGACGCGTACCTCGCGCGCAGTGAAGCGAACGATCCCACGTCGCCACAGGCTTAGGGGCAGATAATTTAGTTTGAACCGAGTTTAAACTTACAGGAGGTAGGCCAGTTTGGGGGAGACGATATGGTCGAGTGGTTGGGCACACGATTGCTATCCCACTCGACACGGGTTCAAATCTATGTGTTCTAGTCAGTAACGTATTCACACAACGTGTTTTTTACGAGTTGTCTTTTTACGAGTTGTCTTTTTACGAGTTGTCTTCGTTTACCCAAAAAAAAAAAAGTGAAAAGATAAAATCGATAGCAAGATTTTAATGCAAACAAACAGACAAAGACTAAAAAGTAGAAAATAATAATCATTAAAAAAGTTTTAAAAACCCACGTTTTCTGATTGAACTAAAAAGTAGAAAATAAACGCTATACATCACAATAATGCAAGCGATCACTCTACTATAAGCGATCAAAAACGTGGGGCGCCGTGATGTTCTTACAGTTTCTAATACTGTTGACTCTCTACAAGCTCCCTAATAAAAGTCAATAGTATTATCTAATCAATAGTAATATAACTTTTACTTCGGCGCCCCACGTTTTTCATCACTTATAGTAGAGTGATCGCTTGCATTATTGTGATGTATAGCGTTTATTTTCTACTTTTTAGTTCAATCAGAAAACGTGGGTTTTTAAAACTTTTTAAATGATTATTATTTTCTTATTTAATTATTTGGTTGATGAGGAGGGGGTGGGGTGGGTAATTAGTTATAAGAAGCAGACATAGTTACTGACAAAGTACTGGCTAGTAGATTGTAAATGAGGTTTTTAAAGTATGCATAATAGTAGGAATACAGAAACGTACATGCAACTCACCGTTTTAACTGATGGTCAATAGTGAAGGTGAAGTAGAGTTATTCTGTTACCGCGGCATGCGAAGTGAATAGTACAAGGCTCGGATGTTTTACCTTCCCGTTTGGTAAGTTATAATCGTCATTGGTGTCATCATTGTTATCCGCGTTTCTAAAAATGTGTTTTCCCTTTTCAGACGTGTATATCCATACCTAAGAACGTAGTGGCCAAGCGATACTTTGTGGCGCATACACCATAGAGGACTCTTCTTTCAACCACACGCCATAGACGACCTTTGTTTCAACCACACGCCATAGACGACCCTTGTTTCAACCACACGCAGCATGAGACCCTTGTTTCAACCACACGCAGCATGAGACTCTTGTTTCAACCACACGCCATAGACCACCCTTGTTTCAACCACACGCCATAGACCATCCTTGTTTCAACCACACGCCATAGACGATCCTTCTTTAAACCACACGCCATAGACGACCCTTGTTTCAACCACACGCCATAGACGACCCTTGTTTCAACCACACGCCATAGACGACCCATGTTTCAACCACACGCCATAGACGACCCATGTTTCAACCACACGCCATAGACGATCCTTGTTTCAACCACCCACACCATATATGACTCTTGTTTCATCTTAATACGCTTTTATTAATAAAATGTTGTCTCTTATTTCTCACGTATGTTTTGTTTTTGTTCTAAGATTCAATTGAAATCAGGAATATACATTTTATTTCATCATATTTATAAATTTAAAATTTATTTAATAGACTGAATATTTTATGGAGCTTTACTGTTGAAAAACTATATGACCTGTATGGTCTTTTATAAATTAAAGGACGGAATCCTGTAGAGTACTCAAAGCATTTTTTGTGTTTTTCATTTCCAAAAATATTTTATTCACAACAAATTGGCCAGGTAATAAAATGTATAAGTCATCTGTGATTAATAAAAGAGCTGTAATAAATATCGAGGGAATATAATGATTAAACGTCAGTCAGATACCCATCAGAGCTAGGTGGACACAAAAAATATCAGTCCGTGATTTGAACTCAAGACTTTCTGATTAGCAGTAGAACGCTCTACCATTCTGCAAAAGATGTATACGATTTGGTACTGTTTTTCAGTTACTACCGAGCCTTTTATTTATCTAATATATAAAGTTCAATTCTGTATGTTTGTGCGGGCAAACCGCGGATTGCAAAGAGATATAAGAAATTAATCTACTATTATCTTTATAGTGTAATACATCTAAAGTGCTTATCGTCTAAATTAACTATTTCCCGTGTTCGCTATGGCGCCTACGTTCGTTTTAGAGAGTGCAAAAGACTATAAATAAGTTGGGGTACTATAGTCGTTTACTAAGCTGAGACAGGCGGTTCCGCCGGCGCCCCGGCATGGTGCGATTTGACGCCCCGGGCTACACTGTGAGCACTTTGCGTTATGTATATATATATATATATATATATATATATATATATATATATATATATATATATATATATATATATATATATATATATATATATATATGTATATATATATATATATATATATATATATATATATATATATATATATATATATACATATATTTATATATATATATATATATATACATATATATATATATATATATATATATATATATATATATATATATATATATATATATATATATATAAGGGGTTATATATATATATATATATATATATATATATATATATATATATATATATATATATATATATATATATATATATATATAAGGGGTCATCCATAAATGACGTCACGCTTTCAATGACGATTTTTACCTACCCCCCCCCCCCTCCCCCTCGTCATATTTCGTCACAAAAAGCTAGACCCCCCCCCCCCCCCCCGAAAATGACGCTACACCTCATCTTACAACCACCCTCAAAATTGCAGTTGAATTTTTCTCAAAACATCGAAATTTGTCCAAAATCGTGTCTGAGCTCTCTCAACATAGGGTATTTTTTATCAATTCCTATTACAATTTATTAAAACAATTTTCTAAAACGCGAAATAAACATTACTTTTTGTTAATGCTAAAATGTGACGTCCCACCATCTGAACCCCCCTCCCCCTCATCACACGCCGTCACAAAATTATGGACGCCCCCCTCCCCCCTACGAGTGTGACGTCATTTATGCACGACCCCTAATTCCGTCATATGTAGACAAAGACATTTTGAAAAATTGAAATACTTTATTTTTCATTACAGATTAAAATGTGCTAGTTACTTCCCATTTCGAAATACAAATGTAACTAGGGGAAAACAACTATTAATATGTTCAAAACATGTATTAGAAATACTGATAAATTCGGCAGTAATTAAATAAAAGATTTGATCATTGTTTTTTTTTTAAATTAATCAAGAAAATTTAGATTTCTGTGCAGTTTGTTTAACATTTTCAAAATTTTAAAGATTTACGTATTGTTTATTGGCTCTAGGTCTAGTAGGAAACATTAACTATTTTAAATACATAATTTATTAGCATCAGAAAATACTTAGTTTCCAACAATTGTCGAATGTCGGAGACGTAAAAACCTTAATTTATTTCAGCTAAAAAAAAAAAAAAAATATTTTTTCAATCGAAAAATAGTATGTCTATGTAATTGTTTCTAATTAATTTTTCTAATGATCTGTAGTCGTATTGCGATTTGTTACCGTAACGAGACATCAAAAAAGACATGAAAGAAAGACGAACTAAAAAAAAAAAAAAAAAAAATTTATTTCAGCTCTACTCTAAAGATCTAACTCAGGGGTCGGCAACCTGCGGCTCGCGAGCCGTATGGGGCTCCTTTGATGTCAAGATGCGGCTCTCCAGCTCCTTGCACAAATATTAATATATTATTTCATTTTCAAAACTCATACCAAAAATTATACTGTAAAGAAACACAAGTTTAAATAGAAGAAAAAACTCATTAGAAAACAGTGAGAATTGTTGCAGTAGAAAGTATACGGACAGACGATTGGGCACCAGGCCCAGCCCCACAGCCGTACTGTGGACAGCCCCGTAGAGATCCTTCTATGCTTTCAACTGCCAAAGTGCCGACTTTTTCGAATATCGTTAAATGGGGAATGTTATTTTATTTAGAATGCATTTCATTATTCGTCCGCAATCACTAATTGACGTAAGTGACGTTGTTTTTTAGTTATTAGCTTTCTACTGTTGACCCGGGTACTGGACGGTGGGGTACGAGTTTACCCTGCGTCCAGTGGGGTGGAAGTAGTATTAGGTCACTTTTGGTTATCATGGCGCTGGCGCAGGGTGGCGCAGCAGCCTGGTACAACGAGATATAGTAAAATACTCCAGGTGCAGGCGCAGTCTGGTACAATGGGATATAGTAAAATACTCCGGAGGGGGATGGGGATGGGGAAGTGAGCCGGCGATATCCGTGAAGAAGGGGAAAAAGTTATCAGTTTCAAAAGTGGATTGCGACATTGCTATATTTTTATTTTTTATTACTAATTTCATTATTCTGGCGAAACAAGTGTATATTTTTATATGAATAAATATTATTTTATATATAAAGCTATTTATTTTAAATAATAAATCAAAGTTATTTTCCTAATCCTAATCAAACAATAAAATATTGAAATAAAAAAAATGTTAGTGGCTCTTTAAAATCTGGAAAATTTTGAAAATTGTAGCTTTTGGCTCTTCCGTCGCAAAAGGTTGCCGACCCCTGGTCTAACTCCCCTCAGCCCACCAAGCCGATGGAGGAAAAAAATGCTTTAAATCATCATTTTATTACACATTTGCATTTTCAGGGTTTTTTTTTTAAATTAAATTTGTAATTAGTAGTTTTGTTTTCGATCTATGTATAAGTAAACCATCTTAAATGAATAAAAATAGTAGGCTGCAAGTAAGAAAGAAGTATTACTATTGTAAATCTGCATTAGTCCGCACAGGCCGATGATGAAAACTGTAATACTAAAGCAGCATGCAAGGCAAACTGACGCTGCAAATAACATGTCTGAGGCAAAAATAAAACTTCTCTCATCACAAACTGCAGAGAAGACACGCTGGACGTGCTTGTCTATTGAGAAATTCAACTGGACAATTTAGCCTTTATTCATCATTTACATCATCGATTGTTCAGCATTTAGATAAATTTCCTTCTTTCTTGTAAAATGAACTTTTTCTGATTGAATTCATCAACTACCGTGTTTTTACGGCCTAATATAGCTCGGTCCAATATTCATCAGGTTAATCTATCTCAAAATAATTATTTAATTGATAAAAAAAAATAATTTCATATTTTGAGGTATATTGAAATGTTTTTTTAAATAAACACTTTAATCTGCAGAACATATTTTAAAAAATGGTCGAGAAACTGTTTGGACATTGGAAACTTCAACAAAATGAAAACTTCAACGAGTACATGAAGGCCAATAGTAAGCCATAGATTAAGATAAAACAAATACTCAAAGTAATTCATAGTCAACGTGTGTTTATCATAGTATTATTCCTCTTTTGAATGAAAGAATATATATCATCCATTGGTTTAAATATAAATACTTAAAACAAAACCATCAAAGTTTTTGAGACTTTGCAGAAACTTTTGAGTCCCTCGAAATGAAACCAGAAGTTATATAGAAAACACTTTAATTCACTTTTTAAAATGATTTAGTGATTAATCCTAAATATGTTTAATTTTAGATGGGACGGCGTGGCTTAAGCGGTAGAGCGCTAGGCTGCTAACCCGATAGTCGTATCCGGGTCCATGTTAGTAGAATGTCCCTGAGTCCACTCAGCTCTATTGGGTACCTAACTTGTGTTTTGGAAAGTAAAGGCAACTGGGCAAAGTGCTTACCACACCATCCTTCATATGCCGAGATCAAGAAAGATATGTACAATGAGCCGAACCGCGGTGTATCATACGCCGCTATTTAGTTGTTGTTTTTTCTACTTTTCAGTAAATCATAATTTGTGAATTCGACAGTACCAATGCTGTCTCCTTTTAGTTACCTCCTCTAAGTTTAAAATCGTTTCGAACTAAATTATCTGCCCCTAATAGCCGTCACTAAACCCGGCTCTACGATTGTATTATGTAAACATTTAGCGTGAACCACAGCTCACCAGACCATGTGACGGGTTGGGGGGGGGGGTGGCAGCGATAGAGAGGAAATAGGGGACTGCAAGGCGCGCTTGCAGCTTGTTTTCTAACGTCTCCCAGGAGAGAATTATATATATATAGATGGATCGCCAGCTCTAAAGTGGATTATTTACTTTTTAAATTCATTTTAATTAGCATTAACTGAAATAAGCAGATAATTCTATGTACGCATTAACTGAGATAAGCAGATAATTCTATGTACACATTAACTGATATAAGCAGATAATTATATGTACCAAAACACTTGCAGACGTCAACGTGGCCTTGCGTGCAGTGGGCAAATCCATCACAAGCTACGAGGAGATCAAGCGAGACGGTGACCACTGGACCATCCACATTACATCCACCTTCAAGAACCAGAAAATCGAATTCCAGCTCGGTCAGCCCTTCACAGAACACACACTAGACGGCCGGGATATGACCGTGAGTACACACAATCATAGAACACACACTAGACGGCCGGGATGTGACCGTGAGTACACACAATCATAGAACACACACTAGACGGCCGGGATATGACCGTGA